TGCGCCCCTCTTGAACGGCCCCTTTCGGTTAACTGGTTTTCAAGGTTCCCCCTTTCAACAAGGCCAAAACATACCGTTTTCAATTGTTCAACGCGCAATCATGAATTCCTGTAAAACATCAACGCGTGCTTGTTCTATTTCGACGCTGTTATGAAATTGGTACATGCTTTGAATCGGTATTCACCTCATTGTGATAGGACTGATGTCAGTTCAAATAATTTTCGTTAATTAAACGGAGTCGATTATGCAATCCTGTGAAATCAAATTCACCATATGCCTTAAAAATAGTGTATCCAATGGGTTAAGGTTTTTATAACTGAAGTAATTGAACTTGGAAGCAAACGTTTTAGCGGACGAGGTGACGATTCAAAATTTTACGCCGCCAATATCCCAGCATTAATACGGCAGTGTACACCAGAAATGAGCTTCACGCATCAGGTGTGTGTGTGTGTGTGTGTGTGTGTGTGCGTGCGTGCGTGTGCGTGCGTGCGTGCGTGCGTGCGTGCGTGCGTGCGTGTGTGTGTGAATTCATGAAAAGTATTGAAAAGCAAAATAAAATTGTAGTTATGGAAAGGTAGATATTAGTTCCTACACCCCTGCGCATTAAACCCATGTGGGGAATCTGACCCGGGTCTTTAACCACTAGGCTACCCCTGTTAAAAGAAAGTGATTTGGGTTTAACGCCACAGTTTTCCATTTCTATCACGGCATATCAGTTTAATGTGGGAAGAAGCTGGCCTGATTCGGTTCTCTGACGCTGATCAGTTTACTGAAACCCACGTGTATGGCGCTGACAAACCTAGCAATACACTCGAGCCGAACCGGGATTCTCGTCGTCATCATCATCATCATCATCATCATCATCATCGCGTGCCAAGGGGCCGCAACTCCGCACAGCAAATAATGAGGCCACAGACGGCAAGGTTACCCGGCCGTGCCCCTTAAGTTTAAGAAACGATCAACGGAATGAAAAAAAAGGTTACGGCAAACAGGAAATTTAACTTGCTGCCACATAGCAAAGCGAGAAGCCAAACTATGTTTATAGCACTGCTTGTGCATAGGCGGGGAATCAAGAAGGGTGGGGTGCGCACGCATCCCCCTTGAAAGTTTATTCAATGACCATTGAAACTCGGGTGAAAATGAAGTGTGCACCCTCCCTTTTCTCAATAGTGTGCACCCCCACCCCTTTCTCAAAAAGCTGTATCCGCCTCTGTTGTGTGCAAAAAGATTGTCACATGTGCACCATGTTGTTTACAACACAGCTACATATCCCATTCTGCATGTAATGCACGTGCAGCACGCAGTCTCGTGATATACGTAGTCCTTTTGATCCAGTGGTGCTATTTCATTGGATATTAACCTTTAGTGTTTTCTGTTACATATCTGCTTTATTTATACAATAAATCTATACTAGGAAAATAAAGATAAACTACTTAATTACTTTACCATCCTGTTACATAACGCAGTGACTACATCGCCGCATCCAACGATTTAATTGGATGCTGCTATCTATCCCATAAAATGCGTGGAGGTACCTTAAGCAAATAAATATCTCGGGCGAAGAAAATCAGACACGGGAGCTTAAAAGAGGCCATTACCCGCGGCATGTAATCTGTCGACTGACGCACATCCCCTGTGGCATCATGGCAGCGTTGTCTTGCACGTGCAGTAGTGGTCCACGTCACTGTCATGGGCATACTGAGAGCACGTCACTTATCTGAAAACACATTATTCAATGTCCGAGAAATAAATTATCTCTAACCGATCTCTGTAATTGAAAACATATTTGTCATGGGACGTTTAGTGGATGGTCCTTTAGTTTTCAAGTGCTCCGAGAAAATACCGCAGTCGTCAGCAATGAGTTAAACACTGTTTATGTAAGACGGAAAGTGTCGGGGTTGAATAATAAATCAGTGTAACCATAAACAGTGTTCTCACAGTGTTATCTTACATGTCGTTTCCTTATTGCTTTCCCTTCTGTTTTCAATGCTTTTGCGATGTTTCCGTCGTCGTGTTTGCTTTGAAGGGGAAGGTTTGATTCATGTGGTAAATGCAGATTAAGGTTGTATATTTGTTTGCTTGTCGTTTCAGCAACATGCCATCTGGATCATTTTTGGTTTTGTTTCTTTGTTGTATAACGTCGCCTTCAGCATGATTCCAGCCACATGGCTGCGGTCTGTAAATCGAATCTGGATCACACACATCCAGTGATTGAAATCAGGAGCATGTATATGCATACGACAACATGGATCAACCAAGTCAGGACGCCCGACACCCGATCTCATGATCCGGCTGCTGAAGACCAGCCCTATCCCGGATGTTTTCGGAGAAAATGGCGTCAGGGTAGCCAAGTGGTTAAAGCGTTCGCTCGTCACCCCGAAGGCCCGGGTTCGATTCCCCATAGGAATAGGCCTATTGCTAAAAGCAGCGTACAACTCCAGTTCGACATGCACGATACTGATGAATCAAAATGTCCACCCCAGACATTCGATTCCCCACATGGGTACAATGTGTGAAGCCCATTTCTGATGTCCCCCGCTGTGATATTGCTTCGTATTCCTGGAATATTGCTTAAAGTTGCGTAAAACTAAACTCACTCACTCACTTGCTCACTCTCCGAGATAAGAGCAGATATTGAGCATCCTGGAAAGTTTCCCCTAAAATGACATGTTCCATTAACCACTTTTAAATCTGGATCGTGCACACATAAAGGGCAGGTCACAGTGCATAGTCACACGAACATCTTCAATCATACCCGTCGTAAACGTCACTGAGCAACAGCAGATCAAACATCCATGGAGTGCGCCCCTCTTGAACGGCCCCTTTCGGTTAACTGGTTTTCAAGGTTCCCCCTTTCAACAAGGCCAAAACATACCGTTTTCAATTGTTCAACGCGCAATCATGAATTCCTGTAAAACATCAACGCGTGCTTGTTCTATTTCGACGCTGTTATGAAATTGGTACATGCTTTGAATCGGTATTCACCTCATTGTGATAGGACTGATGTCAGTTCAAATAATTTTCGTTAATTAAACGGAGTCGATTATGCAATCCTGTGAAATCAAATTCACCATATGCCTTAAAAATAGTGTATCCAATGGGTTAAGGTTTTTATAACTGAAGTAATTGAACTTGGAAGCAAACGTTTTAGCGGACGAGGTGACGATTCAAAATTTTACGCCGCCAATATCCCAGCATTAATACGGCAGTGTACACCAGAAATGAGCTTCACGCATCAGTGTGTCAGGTGTGTGTGTGTGTGTGTGTGTGTGTGCGTGCGTGCGTGCGTGCGTGTGTGTGTGAATTCATGAAAAGTATTGAAAAGCAAAATAAAATTGTAGTTATGGAAAGGTAGATATTAGTTCCTACACCCCTGCGCATTAAACCCATGTGGGGAATCTGACCCGGGTCTTTAACCACTAGGCTACCCCTGTTAAAAGAAAGTGATTTGGGTTTAACGCCACAGTTTTCCATTTCTATCACGGCATATCAGTTTAATGTGGGAAGAAGCTGGCCTGATTCGGTTCTCTGACGCTGATCAGTTTACTGAAACCCACGTGTATGGCGCTGACAAACCTAGCAATACACTCGAGCCGAACCGGGATTCTCGTCGTCATCATCATCATCATCATCATCATCATCATCGCGTGCCAAGGGGCCGCAACTCCGCACAGCAAATAATGAGGCCACAGACGGCAAGGTTACCCGGCCGTGCCCCTTAAGTTTAAGAAACGATCAACGGAATGAAAAAAAAGGTTACGGCAAACAGGAAATTTAACTTGCTGCCACATAGCAAAGCGAGAAGCCAAACTATGTTAATAGCACTGCTTGTGCATAGGCGGGGAATCAAGAAGGGTGGGGGTGCGCACGCTTTCCCTTGAAAGTTTATTCAATGACCATTGAAACTCGGGTGAAAATGAAGTGTGCACCCTCCCTTTTCTCAATAGTGTGCACCCCCACCCCTTTCTCAAAAAGCTGTATCCGCCTCTGTTGTGTGCAAAAAGATTGTCACATGTGCACCATGTTGTTTACAACACAGCTACATATCCCATTCTGCATGTAATGCACGTGCAGCACGCAGTCTCGTGATATACGTAGTCCTTTTGATCCAGTGGTGCTATTTCATTGGATATTAACCTTTAGTGTTTTCTGTTACATATCTGCTTTATTTATACAATAAATCTATACTAGGAAAATAAAGATAAACTACTTAATTACTTTACCATCCTGTTACATAACGCAGTGACTACATCGCCGCATCCAACGATTTAATTGGATGCTGCTATCTATCCCATAAAATGCGTGGAGGTACCTTAAGCAAATAAATATCTCGGGCGAAGAAAATCAAACACGGGAGCTTAAAAGAGGCCATTACCCGCGGCATGTAATCTGTCGACTGACGCACATCCCCTGTGGCATCATGGCAACGTTGTCTTGCACGTGCAGTAGTGGTCCACGTCACTGTCATAAAGTCGCATCGTGCAGTCCTGTTGTAAGACTTTGATTAGTGTTGTTTATTTTACTTCCAGAATGCACGTGTAACACGTGTTTCCGGTTTTCAGTCGAAACTGCATTTTTGTTGTTTGTTTCAGGTTAAAAACTAAAATGAACGACTTTTGGAGTTTATTTATAGTCGTTATGGGTATCTGTGTACATTTCTGTGTTTGTTTGTGTTGTTTAAAGGCGTTGATGAGCGTTGTGTTATTTACCAGAAATTTACTCTATAGGAAATGAGGGAATAAATACGCTTCCCCTCCCTCCTACAAATACTCAGACGGATCTGATTAAGGTAACGAGCCTCAGCATTATAAATAGCACCGGTCATTTCACGCTTCATGTATACAGTAAACACGAATATGTATTTTGGGCATATATGATCCACTGATAGCATGCTTGAGGTGGTTAACACGGCAGCTGTTTTTCTCCTGAAGTGGATAGGTAAGAAATGGTCACAATTTATCACGATTCATAGCAATAATTCATCGTCGATGCTGTTGCAGAAATCTGTGTGTTCTGCTGTCGTTCCTGCTGCCGCTGACGGCGTCCAGTGAGAAGATCAAGCTGGGGTCATTCCGCGACCAGATCCTTGACCAGCACAATGAGTACCGACGGGAGGAGAGGGCGTCCAACATGTATCAAATGGTCTGTTCCACCGCTGTGCTTGGATCCAGTCAATAATATCCACTTTATACCCAATACTATCAGATGTGAATCGTAGCCTGATCATTAAACAATGTCTAGTATCCATCATCGTGTCCACATCAAGAACACCAAGTCAAAACATTGATAACACAGCAGTCTCGTTTCCTACTGACTGGGTTCCGTCCTATTGCGCAACCTAGTACAATAACCAGTCCAGAATTCTGAGACAAATTCATTCAACTGGATACATAAATATTAATCAGTATTGTTTGATACATCAAACCACTTGTATATTGCAACACTACGCTCCTTCTAATCCTTGCAAACACGTCGTGCAGCGTGCTCTGACAAACGGAAATCGTGGAAATCTCAAAACGAGGCTCTGCCGCCAGAAAGGTTTGGCGGTCTGGTACGGACTTGATATTATATCAGTCATATTGTCCGTTACAAAACTACACTGAATAAGCGAAAAAAACACATAACAGGTGTAACCAGTGAGCCAGATGAATTGTGAATCATTTTACGACCTCATCAAACTGGGGCAGTCTGTGACGTATTAGTTAAGGTCATGCTGCCTACACCTCGCCAATAAATACAGAAATACGACGTTATTAAAGTTTAAAATTAAAACTTACTTGTAAAAACCATTTTCTTATGAAACAAGGAATTGGAATTCAGTGTAACCATAGTTGTTTGTTTCTTTTCACTTTCACACATGAAAATTCGGATCGGCTGAAAAGTAGGTCATTGTCTGAATAGGTTAATGAGACTCATGTTTCGGTTTGTGCTTCCGCATTCATGGCCGCATCAACACTACCTGCATCAAACATCACATGCATTAATCACCACGCCCACATCAAGCATCACGTGCATCAATCGCCACGCCCACATCAAACATCACATGCTTCCGTCACCATGCCACATCAAACATCACATGCATCCGTCACCACGCCCACATCAAACATCACATGCATCCGTCACCACGCCCACATCAAGCATCATATGCATCAATCACAGACCCCTGCATCAAACATCACATGCATCCGTCACTTTATCAGGTGGATATTGAGATTGTACGACGACGGCAGAATAGCATGTTTGAATGTCCATGCCACTGACGTAGAAAAGTAGGGCAGGGGCCAAGCAACAATGTCACAAACTCAATATCCACTCAATAATGGATACGCTGAAATCCAGCAATGGTCTGTGCAGTCATCACTGTACATAGTCCTGTCTTGGCGTTGTGACGCGTGAACGTCGTGCACATAGGCAATCGGCAGCTTCCGTATTGTTGATACCGTCTCAACAGGGCTGAAATGGGGTTTCCGTGGCAATGGAAATGCGCAGCCACTAGACGTTGAGACATTCTCCCACGGACCATTCCAGTAGCCCCATGACGTTGTGCAGTCGTGAGTCGTGGCATGATGTGCATATGGTTCAGAGGTCGTTGAATGGTTTTGAACGGTCAAACGTCAAGCGATCAGGCTTCCCAAATCGACAGAATATAAACGACATTTATATGAGCACCGTTTATCGCACCTGCACAAACATATTGCACCACTGACGTCAGCTCACTAACTACTTTGTTTCTCTCTTTGTGTACATATGTAGTTCCCGATATATTTTAATTTCTTATTTGCACAGTTTCTTTCAGTGGCAAGTATATATTCATGTTCACTGTCACATCCACAACACAGCACCCGTGAAGATCCGGGTTAGAATATTGATCTTCAGTAACCAATGCTTGTCGTAAGAGGCGACTAACGGGATCTGGTGGCCAGGCTCGCTGACTTGGTTGACACATGTCATCGTATCCCAATCGATGATCAAGCTGTTGATCACACGATTGTCTCGATTATTTACAGACCGCCACCATATAGCTGGAATACCGCTGAGTGGGGCGTTAAACAACAAACATAAGAAAGAAGTTTGAATGCCTTTGTGTGAAGACACCATACACTTTAGGAATGTAGTAAATTTACACTCATTGTCATAAACACCTTCTTGTTCCTTGCAGAACTGGAATGAAACTTTGGCGGAGCAAGCTGAGCGATGGGCAGACAGGTGCGTATTCAAGCACGAGATGAAGAGCGGAATGGGGGGAGAATCTGGCGTTCGATACCCGGAAGTTCGACACTTCCAAGCTGCTTGACGGCTTAATGAAGGGATGGCATGACGAGAAGAGGACGTGGAAGTACGGAAGTCAGTCGTGCGGCTTCGCTTGTCATTTTACACAGGTAACGTTAAGGTTACATGTAGTTAAGGCAATCTTCAAACCCTCTCCCCACACGTTGCTTAATCCCAAACATATTTTGTCACGTGTTTCATAAGGTCGTCCAGCCTTTGGGCATCGCTCGATGGCTTCCTTTAAGTTCTTCTTTGGCGGGGAAAATAGTTATTGTGGTTTCTCAGCGAATACATATATAATCTCTTTTGACTGCTTTAGGGATATTCGTATCCGTGCCTCTATCACGAAAGGAACAAGGCCTCAAAACAAAAGTGAGTTAGTGAGTAAATATTGCTTTATGCCTCATCAGCAATCCTGCGGCTGCTCGCAGCGATGAATGCGTATTATCGCTCTACGTTAGAAGCGGTGTCATACATCAGAAATATATGTCGGGTTTTGAAACAGTGACAAAATATAAAAGTATTGCGGTTCTGAAATAACATCTACAAGGAGTACATTTAATAACTGAACTTGAACAAAACAAACAATATCAAACGTTACTAGACAGAAGACACTGAACGAACCATTGCACACTTTAGGACCAAAACACAACTGTGATACTGGTACAGTGTACTACAGTGATAACGAATCCAAAGGGACTACTAAGTTCGTTACTTCGTTATAGCTCACCCTTGAAGATCCGGGTTAGAATTGGTCTTCAGTAACCAATGCTTGTCGTAAGAGGCGACTAACGGGATCGGGTGGTCAGGCTCGCTGACTTGGTTGATACACGTCATCGTTTCCCAATTGCGTAGATCGATGCTCATGCTGTTGATCACTGACTTGTCTGGTCCAGACTCGATTATTTACAAACCGCTGCCATATAGCTGGAAAATTGCTTGGTGCGGCGTAAAACTCACTCACCCACTCATTATAGCTGCTCTTCGTTATATTCATTTCGACTAAAATATACAGCAAGTGTACGGTGCCCAAAACTATGGAATCCGAGAAGGGACATTGTCGCTATGTCGCATTTTCGCCCTCTCAAAAACAAGTAAAGTGAGGCAAAATAAACCAAAACGCGACACGCGACAATGCGACAAATGGGCGAAATGTCGCGTTGTCGCGATGTCGCGTGTTGCGTTTTGGTTAATTTTGCTTGTATTTGAGAGGGCGACAACGCGACAATGCGACATAGCGACAATGTCCCTTCCAGGATTCCATACAAAACAATCATCTTATCCGTCATTTCGTTATAAGCTTGTTCGTTATAAACATAGTTTACCATATACAATACATCACCATGGTATAACCATTTCTTGTTTGATTCATTCTTAGGCACCATCATACACTTTCTTTTAGTGTATGGTTTGACATTTCCTTCAGCAGTATTCCTGCTATATCACGGGGTAACATTAATATTACTATGTGATGTGAACTGAACCCTTTTCATTGGTGATTAATTGGTATAATCTGCTGGGTACCCACCGCCCGATGGTTTTCCATTGAAGAAAAAAATGGCTCTTTTACCAGTATAATGTCCCTGGCGACATGCAGGGTGAAATATGTGAACATCGTTCAGCAGCCACCACATGACGTTTGTCATGAATGGCGACTACCCGGGCATGGGGTACATTCAGGGTAGGCAGACATATCGTCTTCGTCTGGTGACGTCATTACGACAATGTGTCGATGTGCGTCGATGTGTGAGGACGCCCGTCAGCCTCGGTCTAGGGTGTGTAAGTCCAGGTACATTGGTTTCACCAACTGAGCGACTGACTGAGTTGGATTTATCGCTGCTGTTAGGAACATTCCAGCTCTACCAAGGCTGTGGGCTTCATGTGAGAGGATAGCCCGGAGTGCTACAGGTCACAAAAATTTACCATTTCGGTGAAACTCAGACCACGTGTATGACGCTTAAAAACGTAGAGGGTGGGATTCGAACTCCATACTATTGGCTTGTCCAGCGGCCGCTACCCTCTACAGCCGTGATCCGGTTTATAGTTCTAAATTATGGTTAAATAATACGTCTGTGTGGTACATTGCCCATCTTATTCCACTCATAATCTACTGTTCGAATCAAGTGGCGATTAAACGAATGGCATCTCGTCTTTATAAAGAACACGTCTACCCAACTAGGTTTTTGGCTGGACACATTTAAGTCTACCCTGTGACTGATCAACCTGAACAGTCAAGCTGAACTATTCTCATAAATGGCGTTTAATCAAACTCAAATGACCTTACCTCTCTTCACCCGACCAGACATTTCTTAAAAGGTTAATTCCGAAATGATGAGAGATGTTTCATTATTTTGATGCAGACTTTGGTAATACATGGGCTACACGCCGACGAGGTGCTTGTTCTATATCGGATGCAGATGTAAGGAGTTATTAATGAGATTTGTTTCTGGATGGTTGGTTCCGGAAGTGCATATATCCTGCACGAAATCGACTTTCCATCCTCCCGCCATGCACGGGTGCTCCCTTCGTTATACAGTGCATAGTTCTCCAACACCAGTTAAGTTAATGTATTCAAACCGTGTTAACTGTTGTCACCTGCCACCGGAAGTGCAGCCATTTGTGGCAGACGATTACCACCAGCGTTGTGTAATTAGGAGAACAAAATATCTTTATACACTCCTGGTTCTAGTACTCCTCGCACTATGTGATTTGAAATATGAACATTTTCTCGATTTTCCTGTTTCCTAGCTTCTAAATGATTTGTTCAGAAATATGCCCCAAATGATTAGTTAGTTGGTGTTAGGTGAAAAAGTGAATGAGTCGTATAATATACCAAAACATCAACGTGTTTGTGTTGATAAGAGAAACGAAGACACCGTTTAATGGAACCTAGTAAGTAAATACTTTGGTGTACACAGCTAATGTAAGCCGGGTCCTACTGTCCATGTAGTTGTTCAAAGAGCTGCGTCCACTGGTAACTAATGAAGGATGTTGTTTTTAAATTGCAATCTACATAATACGGGGCAAACATCCTGATGTTGAACGCAACGTATACAAAGCACAGGGAACAGTATACTTCGTGAGGACATATTACTGACTCCACTGTCTTCTCCCCAGCTTGTCTGGCACTCCACCAATGCTGTTGGGTGCGCGGCTACACGATGCGGGCAACTGGGTGGGCTCATAGGGTCCCAGGTCAGGCACGCCTTCTACCTCGTCTGCTTCTACTACCCCAGGTGCGTACATCAATCTGACAGATCATCTGACCCAGTTTAAATACCTTTATGACTGACTGAGTATGGTCTTACGCCGCTTTTAGCAATATTCCAGCAATATCACGGCGGGGAACACCAGAAATGGGCTTCACACATTGTACCCATGTGGGGAATCGAACCCGAGTCTTCGGCGTGACGAGTGAACGCTTTAACCACTAGGCTACCCCACCGCCCCATACCTTTATGTCTTTGTCAGCTCCAGTACACAATGATTTGGAGGTTATGACCTGTGTGGATTAGTTGTAAGGAAATCGAAAAAACGTCCACTTTGATGAAACGAAAACCGTAATCATATACAGTCAAACCCCGTTGTGTCGAATTCGTCGGGACCAAGGGGAAAGTTTTCCGTATGTTCGACACATCCGTCAGCATAGAAATGACCAAGTACTGTAATTTGATCTCACTTCCAGCTGCTCCTGAAAACTGAAAACACATCATTCAAGTATTAACATTTGCTTTTGACGATGAAATGTATATTCTTTCAAGTCGTTTAGCTTCCTTAAAGGTCGCACACAATGTATGATAATTCCCTATGTATGCTGCAGAGGCAACTGGATGGGCGAGGTGCCTTACATCCCAGGCAGAGCCTGCTCCAAGTGTGAGAAGGGATCCACATGTTCCGAGGAGCTGTGTGAAAGCGGCGGAGATGGCGGGGCTCAGGTAGCGGCAGCTCCAGCTCCGGCAGGTGGGTCAGTAGTCGACAGGTACACCAGGACATTGGTAGTCCAGCCCCGGCAGGTGGGTCAGTAGTCGACAGGTACACCAGGACATTGGTAGTCCAGCCCTGGTAGTACTAGAACCTCGGCAGTTTTGGTATTGGAGCCTCGGTAGTCCTGCCCTGATAGTACTGGAACCTCGGTAGTCCAGACCTGTAGTACATGAACCTCGGTAGTCCTGCCCTGGTAGTACTGGAACCTCGGTAGTCCAGCCCTGTAGTACATGAACCTAGGTAGTACGACCCTGGTACTACATGAATCTCGGTAGTCCGGCCCTGATATTACTGGAACCTCGGTAGTACGACCCTGGTACTAGATGAACCTCGGTAGTACGACCCTGAGTAGATATTTTCTTCCAACCTGATCGGTGTGACCCTTTTCCATGGAAATCTGTAAGACCCTCCTGGAACCGCATTATCTCCACCCGTTTCTGTTGAAACTGGTTGCTCTTGTATCCTCATTCGACTTTTTACCGGTTGTTTTGGAAACTATCCTCTTCGAAATGTATTCATCTTCAATTGGTGGCTAAAGGCCTGTAACTGTTTTTCATCATCTATACATATTTGTTTCCATTACTTTCATGACAATAATTATTCCAGCACTGACCTTAAGGGAGCCATTGCGCAAGTCGAAGAGTCACGTTTCCTTCATCAGAAAATCCAGTCGGTTCGAGACCTTCTCTCATGGGTCGGGAGCCAATCGGAAGACGGTATCTCGTGGTACGAGCACTCTTCACAGATCTGGACCAATCACGCTCGATCGTCTCCGAGGCCCCCTATCTCTTAGAGCGGAAGGTCTCGTATCTGATCAGGGAACGGCTCTGGCTGCTAAACAGCCCCGACAGTTGGCCTACTCTTCCGCCAGAGAAGTGAACTACAAAGTGAGCAAGAAGAACAAACCCAAACGCCGTAGAAACAGATGCAAGGATAGGCTTCCTGCTTGCTGGAAGTGGTCAGACAGATGTAACGGCAACAGAGCTATCAGGATCATGTGCCCCAAGTCATGTGATGCTTGTGAGATGGTGCTTGCTTTGGTTGACGGAAGACTAGACAACAAGAGTCAGGGTTCACACAGCACTGGGGAGAAGAAGCAAGTACGGACTGGTTCCATTGGGCAGCGACGAGGGATCTCTCGCTCTTCCAGGTATACCGTCTACGGCTATCTTCCCGTAGCGATTCTAGTGTTTTCATGGTCCCTGGAGTCATCGTTCCCAGATTCGGAAAATCGTTCTCATGATTTCACTCAATGTGTTTCTGGATTGGCTGTAATTATTTAGTGTCAAGATATGGCATGTATATTGCCGACTTGCATCCAACAATATGTGCTTGACCGAACGTTGACCATTCAATAGTTAATTTATGTGATGAAACAAGGAGTTGGTATATCTGAGTGCATCAATAGTGTGAATCCTGTTACAAGCATAAAAAAGTGGTGTAAGTTCTCTAGTAGTTAATATCTCGGTACATTAAATTATATTCTCACGTTAAATTCGAATTAAGTTGGCGTTGTCTTTGGGTCAGGACATGCCTACCCTTTTAGGGCGAACACCCGATGTCGTTAGACTCCTTACTCATTTGCAGTGTCCATTCATAGTATTTTATCCGCTGCTTTGCAATTCATGAAGCTTGTTTCAGTGTTTGATCGAACTTATTAAACGCTTAGCTATAATGCGATGCTAATAATGTCATGATAAACGAGAATCGTTCTTTGAAGATAGGGTGACAATGGCGACTCATACATTTCTCGGCCTCTTTATAGAAACAGGCACCATCCCAGTGGCCGTCGGCGTCATCAGCCTGAAACAGCTACAACCAACCGACGTCAAACTCCAGCACGAAAACTTGACAACGTCCGTCAAAATGGAGGTCAGATGAGCAGACGACAGAGTTACAACAGCAGAAGACAGATACGTCGTCATCACAGTCAACAGTCGAGTCGGGAAAGTCGCTACGGGCAACGTCACGTCACTGGGCGACGTCATCATCGACCCCGACAACACAACCAGGGAGCCAGCAGGCACACACAACACAGGACCGTTCAGCGGACGAGAGGTCAAGATATTAAAAACAAACATACTGACTCTGCGCAGCACCGGAAGCAGCAAAACGCAGTATTACCTCAGAAGGATAACCGTGAGTGAATTCCCTTGGAGAATAGCCTGTACTAACCAACATTATAAACGATGCTCCGATAATCACTAAAGGTTATTTCTGAAACAGAGCTTTGAGTTCCAGCTCACTATATTTTCACATAAAACTATAGTGTATTTTCATACCCGCCTTCTTCATTCTTGACATTTCATTCTCTTGTTGTTAACCAAAAATGTCTTTGTCAGTTATGAATAGTCTGTTTTCTTCACTAGCGTATCCATTTACAGGCAGCGGAGGCATGTCTGAGTTTAGACCAAGCTGAAAATGACGATAACCAAACTGTCAAAAAAGCATTTTCAACTCAACAAATGTATGATTGTGTACTTACTGCTCTTCTATTTTGTGTCTGGTTTCAGCTTTCTGCACCGACAACGCAAGTTACGCTGCCCGGTGTGTGTACTGGGCGAAGACTGGGTTCTGTCGGGAAAACTACATGATGCGAGACCTCTACTGTAAGAAGAGTTGCGGAAACTGCTAGCCAGTCAATATTTGATAGTTTAGACAATTCAGTTGTGACACTATGGTGTATTGTGACGTCTTTATACAAGACTGGTGAAGTCGTGATGGTATCTGTAACTAAGATAGAAGGTTGTTGCCTCCCCTTATGTTTGAGGTCGAGGGTATAAGTCGAGGGTATAAGGTGTGGTTAGTTTTCAGCTGGAGATATAGCTGTGATGTACACAAAATATGAGTGTTTTGGTTTGTTTGTCAATTTTATAAGACCATTGTCATTAAAAATAAACTATTAAACAAACACAAAATAGAGCCAGAAAATTCAATTGTGGGCTGATAGCTGAAGACTGACTGACTGAGTTTAGTTTTACGCCGCTTTTAGCAATATTCCAGCAACATCACGGCGGGGGAAACCAGAAATGGGCTTCACACATTGTACCCATGTAGGGATTCGAACCCGGGTCTTCGGCGTGACGAGCCAACGTTTTAACCACTAGGCTACCCCACCGCCCTTGATAGCTGAAGACGCTGAAGATGATTTACTGCACGAGTGTAAGCCTCCTGTTCCCAGTAAAGACAACAGAATTACTGGCAGGCTGACTTGTGTCCGATGCAGCTAAATGGAGACGGGGCACTGCGGATTGGATTTATCAAAATAATCTGTCAAAACATTTGAGTTTGACCTGTGGACAGATTAGTTTCATTTGGGAGTGTATCACCCTATACGTTTCAAAATCTAAGCTATGTTATGACATACAGTCCTAATTTCAAATATCTTCTATTGAAGATTTGTTGATTGTGTGTTCACATATAAACATGTACCTATAAATGTTATATGTACATACTGCAGTATTCCTGTGTATTGTGTTGCTATTCAATCTGTGTTTGATTACACTGTATACAAGATGTGTGCATCTCACTAACTTGTCGTTCATATTGATAACCCTAGCTGCGAACTGGTTCATTTATTATTGTTACTCTTTTTCCATGGTTGAAACCAAAGGTCGACACTTAAAAGCAATAGATCATGATGAGTTGCCTCCCTTTATCTGATTTCACCAAGCAGTTGACAACAGCAGCGAAACGGTGGCAGGTATCACTTATTGTCACACAAAAAAAACGGAAAATATTTTGGGCATCACTTATTATTATCATATATTGATTGTCACGTAACACATATTTTAAATTAAAATTAACTGACAAAAAGTAATAACTGCATACATGTACAGTAGCTCTATATAAAGATATGGTTGCATTTGTGATATATTACTTATATCCTTGCATTTTGTATACTCGCGTGCATTGTAGAGACACACATCATCACGTGTCTTTAAGTGTTTAGTGGAACGTGGTTAACATAACCCTACACGCTATAGTGAATATTGTGAAATAAAACGATATTTTGCTATGAACGCAGTCTTATGTTTTGTTTGCGATGTAAGGCTGGGTTCACGCTTTCCCCGTTACTTGTGCGAGATGCAACTGGGTTTGTTTTATCTAGAACTTAACCGGTGGTTATGTAAACTGAGGGGCAAAAACAGGACTTCAAGTGTTGAGGAGAGGCAATGAACACAATCATTTGTCATTTCACATGAGTGAATGAGTGAGTTTAGTTTTACGCCGCACTCAGCAATATTCCATGTATATGGCGCAATTGGGAACCGATGACATGTGTCAACCAAGTCACCGAGCCTGGCCACCCGATCCCGTTAGTCTTAAATGAATGAATAAATGGTTTATTCTCACGAAGATCACATTAGTGACATAGAGAAAAAAAATACAAATGTTCTTACCACAAGCATGGGTTACTGAAGATCAATTCTAGCCCGGTTCTTCACTGGTCCATTTCACATGAAAAAAGAGCCACATACTTCGCGGAAAACATTCAACAAATCGTGTGTTCAACAAAAGCTGAATTGTGACACATGATGTATTACAGCCACCTGGTGTCCTTTAAATGTTGCATTAGTGAGGTTATTATTGCTCAGAACATGAACAACTTCATTTTTTTAATATGCTCCTGAGAAGCACTAGCCTACACTCAGAGCTCCAGATAAGATTTAGCTCATGTGGGTACTGTACCCACTGTATTTTTTTGGAGTGGGTATTATAAATGTTGAGTGGGTATTTCATTTTCCGTTACCCACTGCTTTCAAATATGTGCGTATTTCAGTCATTTTACTCACCTAAGTATTATGTGACTGAGTAAGTTTACTAAGCAGGTATGTTCTGCCTTATGTCATACCTAATCAAAACCAACTTAAATGAAATGGAAATGATTTCATAAAAAATCACTGATCCTATACTGACAGTACAATACTAGTCCTATACTAACAGTACAACTTGATAGCAATCGATGTCTTTTCATTACGCAAGCGATTTTTATAAATATATTCCGTACGCATTTGTTTTAAACTTTTTGCGTATCTAACATTTTAAATGCGTAATTGGTACGCAACAATTATTTTTTCAATGCGTAATTGGAAATTTTATATGCGTATTTTACCCGGATACGCAGCTTATCTGGGCCTCTGGGACTACACTGTAATACACAATAATGACAATCCTGGAATTATAAGTCCATCTATAATTAGGTATTTGTTATTGTTTCAATTGAAAAACTTAGGTGTATGTCAGATCTAAATGTCGATCTGATTAGAAAAAAATCTGTAAGCAAATTCAAATCTTTCCACTGTATCACATTTTCTACAAACAATAGAAACTTAGGTTCGAACCGGCCTTCATCAAGGCGTTATAAGATATACGTATACAAATGGGTGAGTTTTGTTTCATCTGTAATGTCGGAGTCCGCTATGGAGAGTAACCAACGAGTTTCCAGGATTCCCAGCATCCTATGTGATGGAATTGTGTTTTTTCAAGGGACTGAAAGCAGCCATTCACAAATAACAGGTAATCCCTAATTCTAATATGGCATTTTATGTGTAATTTATTCAAGATTCAAGAGAAGACGACGCGTCTGTGGTTGCTGATTCGGGCCCTCGCCGGAGAAATCCAGGCGTGTCAAATGCACAGAGCAATCCATTGAAGACAACCTATTACATGTAGTTAGATGACGTAATATTTACAATTTGTGACGTCAAGGACAATGGATGACGTGATATCATATTTTTCTCAACAATGAGGGATTGTGAGGTTATACGGTTCCAGTTAACCATTCGGCTAAAATGATTGCTAAAATGTAAATGTGCAGAATACAGAGGTTATACCCTTATCGGTAATTTATAGAGGATATTTCATGTGACTTGTAAAATATGATGTATCTGTCATCGAGTGAAGGAAAAATATATGACGTTCTTCACGTCAAAACATTGAATGAGTATAAATATATCATATTTCACTATACATGTTGGATATTCCATTTCTTTATATGCTTCCAAATTTGTTTGATTAAATCTAAGCATTCTTTATCCGAAAAATTAGATTAACAAAATCCAAATTCTTCCAGTAAACTAAAGACTGTTCACTTCCTTGTTCGGGCACACAGACAATACACAGTTCCGTACTCTAAAATAAAACAAACATGTCTGTACCAGTTGCTATCTTAAAATCAGCACTCATACTACTTTCCATCAAACGATCCTTTTGGTCTTAGCGTAAACGTCAAAACGCGGTGCTGGCGCACGAATACATAACAACCATAAACAAACATGGCGGGCCGAGAAAACGGCAAGAGAGCGATTGATAGAAAAAAATCATCTGTTCACTGTGTCAGTAAACATGGATACAGGTAACGACCGCTCCCAATAAAGTGAATCAAATTCACTTCTACAAAAAAAATCAGTTTTGAACGCTGTCAGCGCGTAACTGAAGTGTTTTCAACAGAGGTAAACTGGCTCGAAGCGAGGCGTGGACCCGACGCAACACACTGAGGGACACTCTCGGGTCGCTCTCGCTTCGTGCAGGTGCACTGAATGACGCGGTGATCAGGTGAGAGATGGAGGGTTCGTCATACAATGCCGTGGTTTGCTGACCAAATGAATTTGTTGACATGTATTATGTTTACATTGTCACCTATTATGTTGTGTAACAAGACACTGGACAGAAAACTTCGCTGAGCCACGAAGTATTTTCACTGTAGTGAACGTATCAAATTTCTGCACTGCAGTAAAAAGTAAGATCACTTTTCTCAAACTCTTTCGCACTTGAGAATATAATACAGTCCGGTTTTGTCACGGTGGCCTGTCAATGATCAAGCCAGTGTATGATGTAGCAATATTCATCCACGTAAGGGACTATTCATAATCTATGGTTTGGGGGTATGATGATGATCGTAAAGGAGTGTTGTCACCCATTTTGTTCTGTGCAGGTAGTGGGGTCAGCAATTTTGTACACCTCAACGGTGTGTGTGTGTGTGTGTGTTCAGCAATTTTATACATAAATACTATTAAAAAATTATAAAATCATATGAAAGGTGATCGTATTAGTAAGTTGACCGTAATTCCTATACTTTTACCACTACGTACGATTGCTTTGCGAAACGGGCCCCCGGTCGTTTTAGGGACCGTTTCTAATTTGTGGCTAGTGGGGGTGATAATGATCTCAGTCTCTTGGTAGTTTTCGCACGACAAGCCATGTACATGGGACTCGTTGTAGTGTCCGATCCCCGCCGTTAATATTTGTAAATACTTAAAAATCTCTTCCATTTCATATTCCTTGCAACATGCAAATTATTAGTAGTTAATTCTGTTTTGAAGGTTCATATATAAAACTGGCCTGCAATGTACCGTACATTATATTTGAATTATTTTATTATTATTTCCTACTCCACCTGAAGAAGGGGCAAGAAACTTTGTGAAAAATAAATCAAGAAGTTGTTATCCATAAGATTTGTCCTTTATTAATTCCTACTTTGTTTTCAATTTGATTTTGATATTTGTATTTGTAGTTTATATTGGGGAGATGGGTAGATCTTTGGTTCTATTCCCGACTAGTTCGCAATGATTGAAGCATGGTTTTGATACCATACGAGCGCTATCTGTGATTTTAAAAGAGCTTCTCTTGCTATAACGAGCATAGAGTAACGTCCCTTTAATACAGAATACACGGCTTCGTCAGTCTTTTTTCGGTATTTGTTTTATCGATTCATTACCTATTTGTGCTGGAATGACTCGTGTGGTCAGAACTGGTGAGTGTCGCGGTCCTAGATCAGGGTAGTCTTGAGAGCAGCAATACCCAGATATCGTGTTCATAAACTGGTGCACTTGAATTCTTGCGCATGTGTGGCGTTCGAAGGGCAGGCCGGAACCAAGTCTGTGAACGCTTGATCTGTTACTAAATTTAGCTCGTTACTATTGACAGCAGAATTTGTAGCTAAAATTGCTTGGCGGGAAGTAAGGGGGTATAGCTCAGTGGTAGAGCATTCGACTGCAGATCGAGAGGTCCCCGGTTCGATCCCGGGTGCCCCCTTCAGTTTTTCCTATTTTTTTTATGTTAAAGAGAACTTCCCGAAGTAAATATCACTAATATGTAAGCACTGAAATAAATGTTATGTTATGCGTACATGTACTATAGAGAAACACCATTGCCTACACCGCGACGTGAGTGTAGTAGCAGGAAATTGAACCACAGAAGGTAGTAAGTATTAAAGAAAACCTATTTTTAACCTTCAAACGATTTCTTTTTCTACTTTTATTGTAAAATACTTCGTTATAACTGAACAAACAATTAATTGCTGAAACATGGGGACACGTATTTAACGAACAAATTACAACATAATCCGCTTATTAGGAAAATTTGGACGTTCAGCTTTTATTCATATATTTATTACAAACCTCAGTAGTACGATCACTCAAGGGGACTGTTTTCTTTTAATGAAAAGTGTATTCAGAAATATACCCAAAATGAATAGTTTGTTAGCCATGGCGAAAACATATCAGTGTGTTTTGTGGAAAATAGCCAAACGATTTTGGGGGGTTACTAGGTAATGTTCACGGTGTAAGGAAAATAAATAAGTAGTTACTTTTGACCATTGTTACACTGAGAATGGAGACAGGTTGGTGTAGTTGAATTGAAACATATTTCAGTTATACAAATCACTGAAAACAGTGATCCACACACGAGATCGTTCGCCTTTTGGTGTATCAAGACTTTGACATCGATACAATTTACAGATTTCTGACTTAGTATTACATGAATATTTACACCGTGTAGCGCAAATAATATTTAATGGTTGTATAGTTATAGCAGTGGTAATTTGGCTAAGGGGTGGCAGGCTACAGGGGAACCCCGATTATCAGGACAGGATCGTATCTACAAACAACAGACGCAAAAACACGCTGTTTGTACCATTAGACAGTGAGGTAGCCTAGTGGCTGAAACGTTCGCTCATCACACCGAAGACCCAGGTTCAATTCCCACCGTGAATACAGTGAATGAGGCCTATCATTTGGTGTCCCCCGCCGTGATATTAAGGGAATATCGCTAAAGCTGGGAATATCAATACACTTATCATAATAGAATAGATGTTTAATGCGACTGATAATCAATAATTTCGACTCTCTGGAAGATTTTTGAAACAAGGGTTTACGTCAGAAAACTTAATGACCCAGTGTTCCTTGACCGTAATTGTTGACACGCGGCGTATGTTTTTTATGTGTTTCACGTAGCCACCACATTCTGTACATGGGTCGGGGAAAAAACCATGTAGCCACCAATGCCCCGACACACACACACCACCCCAGCCCCATTCCGCTATATCTATCAAATTTTACCAATTGTACCAAAGGCTACTATTGTCTTTTGAGTTGATATAAAAAAAAAGTAAAACCTATTTACATGAGTGATTTAAAGGGAAGTCGTCTGGCCGTTTCGGCGCCAATATCAAACACAAAAGTATTGTCAGATAAACCATCAGCTTGCATGAACACGGGTGTCACGAACATTGTAGTGACTGAGTAATGTCGAGTATGGTTCAATGTCGTTTTGAACTAGTTTCAGTTACTGCTACAGTTACTCCTACATCTACACTCACTGCTACATCTACTGCTACAGTTACAGTTACTGCCCGTATTCAAAGGATATACTTGCATGGTAACAGTTAGACGGAACTACAGACAACAAACATATTGATACATAATTCCAAAATGGTGGCTTCAACATGTGTTTATTCAATAAAGTTTGAGGGTAGACTTATACTTACTTGTATATGAGACCGCCTCCGTGGTGTAGTGGTTAGAGCGTCCGCCCGGAGAGCGGAAGGTCGCGGGTTCGATCCCCGACCGCGTCATACCAAAAGACGTTAAAATATGGTACTTGTTGGTCCCTGCCTGGCGCTCGGCATTAATGGGTACAAAAAGGACTGGTCGGCTCGGAGTCAGTATAATGTGTCTGAGTGGGGTATTCATGCTTCACTGCGGCATGGTATCTCAGTGGGCTAGCACTATAAAACCAGCTTAAGTCTGGGCTAGTACAAGCAGCCGCACATACACATACACACGCATGCACGTCGTCATATGAGCGAAATATTCTCAAGCACGACGTAAAACCCAATTTCACCTCACCTCACCTCACCTCACTTGTATATGAGCAGGGAAAATGTTGAAGTTTTGTTATATAACGTTTTTAACGGATGAAACATTACATCACAGAGCCCGTGTGTGTGATAGTGTCTCGTAAAGCACCTACGTGATAAAGCTATCAAGTTTCACTTCCTGCCTGGGGCCTGTGTCACACACAGGACCCACACTTCAATCTTCCAGTCACCACGCGTTACACCCCTCCCCTGCAGCTATAAAGGTCCCTGTGATCTCACCCCCTCATCCCGCCAGTGACAGTACCTGCATCATTCGGCGACAGCAACCTCGGGAAATATCAAGTGTGTCTTAATTTGGTATTGTCTATAAACACCACCGCCATTCCTGACAGCATATTGTCGAAATATTTCGAGCAGCACTGTAAGATTGTTGGTTCGTGAATTTTAACGGCAGTTATTTCAGAAGGATGTCGTTCACAAACGCGGTGTCACTGCTGCTCTGCTTTCTCAGCATCGTTGAAATCCCTGGTCAAGGAATTGGTAACTTTGACTTCGGACAAGGACTGATCTTATCGGACCATGGGGACATCGGGGGTGTCCATTTCACTGACGGTTTATTAGGAGGGGCAGACATGCTACCCCAGAGGAACGTCATGATTCGATCCAGTAGTAACGCATACACTAGTCCGGCGGGTAGAATCATGTTGTCCGCACCCCGACCAACCACAAGGACAATCAGAGTATCAAGGACACCCACAAGGTCGTATCCGGAAAGTGCTGGAAGGACAAGGAGGATTGAATATTCTGGGAATTCCCGAGATGGTGTTGGTGGCCTAGACCTCCCTGGACTTCTCCAAAGAATGAGGTCACTTCCGGGACAGAGAAGCTTCAGCTGGACCATCCGGAGACTGCCTCAGAGAACCACTCAACGGAGGCAACAGGTTCGCCGACAAAGAATCCCGGATGTATTTCAATCATTTGGAAGTCAGTTTGGATTAAATGGAATGGACATCATCAACCAAAATCAGAGAAGTACTATTCAACCCAGAGTTAACAGTGGCCGCAGTGTCATTCCTGCCTTGCCGCCGACTTCCGGTACGGGAGGAGCCTCGTCCAAATATGGTTTGACGCAAGGACACATCCAACAACTGCTCACCGCCCACAACCAGGCGCGACTGGAACTTCAAGCTGCCGACATGCACCTCATGGTAAGAACAGGACAATCGCATTCTGGTTATAAATGTTTTTGAATGCTTTTCTGCGTGTATGTCAGATGCATCTGTGTATGAGATGCACATGTGTGCATCAGATGCATGTGTTTATGTCAGATATACATTTTGTATATCAGATGCATCTGTGTATATTTGATTCACGAGTGTATGTCAGACGCATGTAAAGTTTATATCGGACATATTCGCCTGTTTTATAAAACATTTTCCACAGCTGTATGGATGCAGTGAACTTTGGATGGGACGAACTTCGATATATCCATGGTCTCTGGTACCCCGTATTTTTTATCCACGATCATCCAGTAAATCATATCTCCATTTGCTGATAAATATCCACGACTAAATACCCGGTAGGCATTTGAGTGAGTGAGGGAAAGTCAGCGATCGGAACGATGGAGTGGTGATGCCATATACAGTAATAATAAATAATAAATATTATAATGAAATTCATATATATCTGAAACTAAATGCGGCCTTGGTGTTTGTCTCAATGGAATGTAGGTATAATATGTTTATAATCGAGGGTGATAAAGGTCAATTTGTTTCAGCCCGTCAATCCAAACTGAAGAATTCTGAAATGATTTCACTATGACAAAACTTACGTTCATAATAAAATTTGTCCTAATGAGCAATATCAAATGTAAATGAAACCAAATGTTCGGGTAAACAAGGTGAAAATATTACTCCTCCATCGCATAAACAACACCAGTGTGGAGGTCACTAGTGTCCGTTAAAACCTCATACATCTTTGATCCTTCAGGGCGTAGATGTCAACGTGCTGTCAATGCAGAATACCGATCAAAGGTTAAGACAAGACATGACAGTCTTTCAGACGGTGCCGACAGTTGGGAGAGATTGACAGATGACGAAAATCATGATTAGGGAATAGCACTTATTTATTCGTCAGCCGCAGGATAGGGTGAAGTCAGGTGGGGTTTATTGTTCCGTTCAAGGTTAATGCAATCCGGTTTTATTGCGACTTCCATGCTCGCGTGTGTGCGGGTGCGTCATCTAGTCCTCAGTCATACCAGTAGAGCATTGGCCCACTCACTTAATGACTCTGAAATGACCCTATCTTGTATTATCGTCATAATGCCGAACGCCAGGCAGGGAAACATCAAGTACCATCTTTTAACGGGTTTAGGCCTGACGTTTCTATCCGTTAGACCACTGTAGAAGTCCAACAATAGGGACGCAAAACGTAGAATTGAGAGTTGAGAATAATGACTGAAATATACACATATATTGCGCCATAATGGTTTGAATTATGAAGGCTAACATATATGTGTAGAGATTATATATATTTGTATTTGCTCTATTTGTTTTCCTGACGAAACATGACACATTCATCTAATGAAGACAACACTCGAAGTTTGGTAATTCATCAAACATAATTTATGTCGAAAATGCTACTTCAAAAACATAGACACCTGCCGTGACCCGGATTCGAACCGGGGTTCTTGCGGCCACAACGCAAAGTCCTAACCTCTAGACGATCACGGCTGTAGTGCCACTTGACAAAGTGCTGTTTCTTCCAAAACCTGATCTTATCTTGTAGAAGTGCGTGTACATTGGTCACTTAGTGGCACGCTGTTTAACACAGAATCCAGGCTCATCCGTCGTTGAGCTAGACTATCCAGTGATTGGTTTGTTTGTTTAACAACGTACTCAGTAATATGAGTTTGAGTGAGTGAGTGAGTTTAGTTTTACGCCGCTTTTAGCAATATTCCAGCAATATCACGGCGGGGGGACACCAGTTTGAAATCATGATCAATGAACCATATACATGTAATATGGGAATGCGATGACGCAATCACCGAGATTATGAGCCCGTCATTCGCCCCGGGCGATGTGCATAGGTTGCTCTGTAAACTCAAACTCTTTATTCTCTACAAACCGCTAACGGCGGTACATGAGATAAACGTATATACATTTACATAATATACAAGACAGCAGCTTACACGATAGCAAGATATAAGATAACAACAGTATTTCATTTTTTAAATGCATTAAATACATGGTTCAGTAATTTAGAAAGGCCTTTAAGGTCGCTTATGCTGGTAGTAGACAAGAGTTTCTTAAAGATGGACAAATTTGGAAATTCTAGGTATTTAGTGTTCAGAGACTCACGTCGGAATTGGAGAAAAGCTTCATATTTAAACAAGTAGTGAAACTCGTCTCCAACAGCGTATGATTCACAAAGTGGACATTGTCTGTCTTCACGTGGAATGCCAAACCATCGGCCTGTCTCAATTGGTATTTTATGGTTAGATGTTCTAAACTTCAAAATTGGGTAGTATATATTTTTGGGAAGAAGAAGATATTTTTCTAAGATTGGTTGGGTTTTGAAATATTTATAATAATCCCCCTTGGAACTTGAATCAACATTTGACTTCCAATTTTGGAAAAACTGGGCTCTATAGGTGTTTTCGACCATTGAGACAAGCCAGGGCGTAGAACATACAGACGGATTTAGAAACACGTAGGATAGACCGCAGTTATCAAGGATATATTTCACAAAACGTAGCCATGGAACTTTATTTGTATTGTCACAGATGTGGTTAACACAGTTATATATAATCTGGGATGGCTTCCAATATGTGTTCTCAGAGGCTAATTTATGCCAATGTGAAATAAATCGCTTATAGATTTTAATACTCAAAGGCTCTCTACCTACGACACATACCTATGTTCTTTGGTGTACGTATGCTTTTCTGTTTTCCATTTCCCGCCCGCCCTGATTTTTCGTTCTGGCGTAAATTAATACAAAGTTACCTTAACTCAAATTTGCCCGCTGCTGGGGAAACTTATGCCCTGACGCGATAAAAGTACACTCTTATCCTTGTACATAAGACGAAAACCAGACCTGTTTCATTCTTATTTTTATTTTAAAAAATGTTTCCAAAGTAAAGCGACTCTATCTACATCACAAATTATTTTTTTAAAACCATAAAAATTACTGACAACCATTTTTCTATTTTTAATTATATTTTTTCGCTCACCCGCTTTCTTGTTGGGTGTCATGCAAAAGTACGGATGTCCTTACATCGAATCCTGAAGGGTCTGAACCGCCAATGGTAAACACGCTTTGGTTGGAGGTAGAGGAGTTCGATTGAGATTGAGATTTACCTGTTCACCTAACACTAGGTTAACGTGTTGGCTCATAAGTCCGGACTTCTAGGGTTGATTTCCGAATCAAAATAAAGTTCTTAAATTCATCAATCATTAGTTTTGGTCAAAATATTACTTTAAAACATAGAGACACCTGCCGTGACCCGGATTCGAACCGGGGTTCTTGCGGCCACAACGCAAAGTCCTAACCTCTAGACGATCACGGCTGAGGTGCCACGTGACAAAGCTATCTTTCTTCAAACACATGATCTTATCTTTGTGAAGTGGTTGTTAACAATAACAGTGGTCAAAACAGGTCATGGCACGGTACGCTGTTGAACCCTTTCGGGACCAACTCGTGTCAGTCCGGGACAAGTTGATCGGAAAGGAAACGTCATGCTTACGGAAAGGGGCGAGTGGCGACGAAACTGCAAGGAGACTCGTCTCCCTAGCGCATTCGTCACCACTTTCCATAATAACACGAGTTGGACACGAATGGAAAGCAGAGAAACGGGACACTTCTTTCACAATCGTACTTTCCGTGTTTAGGTACAGAGAGGTTTGTATAAATAATATGATCTTAGAAAACGTAGAAACCTTCATTGATGCCTATTGATGAAGCTGTTGATGTTGAAAGATACAAACGTTATTGATGATGATGATGATGATGATGATAGTGTTATAATGTCGGTGATTAAGATGATAATAACAATGAGAAGATAACAAAAGATATCATTGTAATATAATGTTGTTTAAGATCACATAATGGTGACAACGTTGGTTATACTGTTGATAAAAAAGATAATGATACTGATTGTTTCTGGTAATGGTCACGAGGACGATGATATGGACGGTGTTGATGATGATGGTGGTCGCTTTCATAACAGGGGTGAAGACGAGAATAAAATCGATGATGGTGATGATGATATTAATTATGAAGAAGACTGACTGACTGACTATGGTTTTACGCCGATTTTTAGCAATATTCCAGCAATATCACGGCGGGGGGACACCAGAAATGGGCTTCACAAATTGTACCCATGTGGGGAATCGAACCCGAGCCTTCGGCGTGAGGAGCGAACGCTCTCACCACTAGGCTACCCCACCGCCCCCAATTATGAAGAAGAAAATGACAGTATCGATGATGATGATGATGATGATGATGATTACGTCTTCAGCGGTGGGACAAGCAGCTTGCGAGTGAGGCACACTCGTGGATACAACGCTGTGTGATGGAGCACCAAGGGGTGCGGGGGGGGAGAACCTCGCTATGGTCGGAGGGTCTCTCATGAACATCGACAGCCTCGTCGAATACGGCATCAACGGCTGGTACAATGAGAAACACAGCTGGCAGTACGGGGATGAATTCTCGCCTGCTACCGGCCATTACACACAGGTAAGTCATATGACACTTGTGATTACGAGATATTGCTTGTGCATTGTAATGTATTTACTACATGTATTATATATTGTGTGCGGGGCAAGAGCGTACTGCACAAGGTACTCAGTTTGAGAACTGAACCCGGTAACCCACTTATTGTGCTATTGCTCTCACCACTGGACGAATAACTGTCATGGAGAGTGAGTGAGTTACGTTTTACGCCGCTTTTACCAATATCCCATCTATACCACGGCGGGGGACACCAGATATCGGCTTCACACATTTTACCCAAATAATATGGGGAATAGAACCTGGGTCTTCGGCGTGACGAACGAACACTTTAACCACTAATCATACCGCCCGGTATGTGGAGAGGGATGAGAACTAACGCTGACTGTGATCAGGTGGTCTATGCGATACCTATATCCTGCTGAGAGGAGCTTTAGCCCCCATACAATGTTACCTGATTAAGAACACCAAACAATACGTGGCTTGACAAATGATAGGGGCATTTTGAAGTAAGCCCTTTTGGTAGAATAGACCAGAAACGTGGAATAGTTTGTGAAAATATCGGGCTTCATTTGAAGGTAACTATTTGGCTTAGGTTGTTGGGAGACGAAATCACGGCACAAGGCAGCGCCAAGCCTCCCAGGTGTAGGTATATATTGAACTTAGTCAGCAGGGGAGTTCTACACATCTACTTGCATGACCACCATGACCATGCTGCTACTTTCTCCACAGATGATCTGGTCCACCACCACGAACGTGGGATGTGCCGCCAAACGCTGTCCCGATATGTACCTCCTCGCCTGCTTCTACTCTCCGCCGTGAGTTGCCTCCCTTGCTTTCATAACGCCATGTTCCGGTTCGTTGTTGTTTGACGCCGCAGTATTCCAAAAATATGAGGGCGGTTTGTATAAATTAATCAAATAAGTTGAATTCTCTCTTCTCTCTGTTCAAATTCATAAGTTTTGATTCCAAGCAGAATAGCTAAATATATATATCTCCCTTCTTTATCCTTACAAATACTTGTCTGTGTGTTCATGTACCGATTTTGTCTCCAGGGGCAACGTCATGGGCTTCAACCCTTACACCAAAGGCCAGCCGTGCACCAAGTGTCGAGGTGGCTGTCAGAGCAACCTATGTGTTTGAGCTCCCATCAACATCGCTGCTACTGACGTTAGCATGGATCTCAAACGACATAATATATCACAACGCTGATTCATGGCACCGACAGGGCCACAGGCGCCTCGCAAACATCTGACTGGACAGCCCGCCTCAAGCTCTCACGGTTACCTTTACGGCAACGCCCATATGAACCGATCTATTCGGCTCAATAAATATATTGAATGCCCTGTATATTGTCATGTTTCCATTTTCGGTGTTTGGGTATTTCTTAAAACATGTTCCAGTAATTACGGGCAAAAATAGTTTTTATAACATTAATTATTCGCTGGACACCGGTATTCCTTTCAAAACACGTTCCAGAAATGACGGACAAAATAATTTTGCCACCTTTTTCAAAACATAAATCTTGTTGGACATTCAGAATGTCCGTTTTCAAGGCAATGGTGATCAGATCTGTAAGGTACTACACAAAACAAAACGTATCTTATTAATTCAACAATTGTAATTTCAATAGCATTATATCATTAGACATTCACCCATTAAGAATAGTAAGTTTACTTCTAGCCGAGATTGACATTATAACTTCATTATTACTCCTATACATAACAAATAGATACTATTTCCTCACGATGTATCCATCAAATCTGAAGGTGGCAAGCTCTGCCACTTCAATAATATATTCTAATTGTGTCGCCTGAAAGACGATCATGAACCTATTCCACATTTGTTTCACAAGAATCTCAAATTACATCATGGTACACAAAATAGTATATTTTAAAAATGTTCACTGACTACGATTAAACATGGTTATTGTGAGATGTTCTTTGTTTAAAAACAGGGTATCCTTCAACACAAATTATATGTACAGTTAACCATAGATGGTCCCACTCCGTGTTATCTTGGGCTCCCTTTTAATGTAGTGCGAGAAATTGTCCTTGCATTTCTCATCTCCGGACCTGAAGTACATCACCATATCTTTCACTCTCCCGTAGGTGAATCTTAGAAGCTTTGATCGAAGATACGCAAACATTATGTTGAAGCAGACGACATATCCAGTGGCTGACTGGAGCTGCGACTTTCCAAGGCCCGACGTACGAAGCAGACGACACATGCTCCATCGTGTCTGGACTGCAGTGAGCATAACTAGAAGTGTAACAAGGCTTCCCACTCCGAGTCCAACCAAAAGAACTTTAAGAAGACGTTTGTGGAACCTTTTCTTGAAAATTTTCTTCAGGGCGGGATAATTCAAAGTGTAGCACGCCCCCGCGAAAACTACGCTTGAAACCACCGGAGCGTGGGCGCCATTGTTCTTGGCTATGCATTCCAGAACCGGGTAGACCTTTCCACATATGACATCCATTGTACAGAAGTTCGTAACTTAAAAACCTCCAACGTCCGTGTCCCTTGCCCAGTTCATGTCAGCTGCTACCGTGTCATCGCCAAGTCTGCGTGGCTGTCTATGACGTCACAGATGTTTCACGTCACAATTCCACGGTTAGCGTTAAAAGTGATGCTTGTATTAAAACGTTCCTTTACAGATTAAGTTCCTACAGCGTAATTGAACTTGTGAGTTGTACAATGTCAACCGCATGAATGTAATGTTTCCTGTGCAAGGTGAGCAAGAATTGTTAAAAGGATAACGTAAGTGAAAAGTCAATGAATATTTCTTCATGACCTCAGGCAGGTTATGTTTTGTCATAACTATATAATCTGAAACGAACAGAAGGTCTTTCGTACAGCATTGGTTTTTCATATTGCTGACAGCTCTAGATAGAAAGTGATGAGTTAAGAATGGCAGTAATGATATGTTTAGTGTGTTTCCATGCCGTGATATATCATGTGTAGAGGCAAGTTTCAGTTTCAAAGATCAGTTTAAAAGAAGAGTTACATGACGAATCATGTAGGCAAATCTTTTTCAGATGTCATTGCCCCAGACATTGTTTCAGACAACATTCCTCATAAAGAAAGTGAAATAAATTCAACTCTTTCTGAGAACAGGTTTGGTTGGAAAACACAGCGGAGGTCAACAATCTCACAGTGCTAGACATGTACATGTATATTGAAGTCAGTGTGTACAGTCAGTCAGCTAATTTCATGATTCACTGAGGTGTTATATATGAACGTTTCAGTCAGCTTACAAACCTGTCCATTAAATTTACAGTTAAACTGGATTATATATACTAGATATTATAATCTTTCTCTCTTGTAAATATGTGAATATTTTACAAACTCACAGATCACATCAGGAACTGAAATGATTAAGTGTTGGTTTACTGCCACTTTTGGCAAAATATTCAAGCAGCATCCGGAAGTTCCCATGAGAAACACTGAACAACCATATGCTTAAGCAGCTGGGTACCCTACTAGCTCCAGAATACAGACAAAGGCAACTTCATAAAGATAACTTATATTTAATGTAAGTAACAAATATTGTATTCACAAAAACAAGAGGCAATCATAAGAAATGCATTAATGGAAGAGGTTTGTATAAGGCAACAAAACTAACATGGTTTAAGGTGAGACTATACAGGCTGACTATGTGAGTAAACTGAATGGTCAAGATAACAATAAAGCTCTGATTCATATTGCTCAAGGAATAAATACATCCAAAATAAAACAAAAATGTTCTAACAAGTATTTGTATGAAAAAAGGTTAAAACTGTTGACACCAACAAACAACTAGGTTTAAATGTTCCTCTACATGGGTGTTCATCACTTTCAATCTGTGCACTACATCCTTACAAAATGAGATTTTTGCATAGCAGTGAATGGACTAGTATCAATGTTAATCATCAACACTAAAAAGATGTCCAGTAACTTAAATGTATACTGTAATCCTAAATAATTCTGATTTCAAATAACGCCAACAGTGATTTAATGACAACTTGGAACATTCAACAGGGTGGTTTTGATTTCACATTGTGTCTTTTCATATGGCATCTGGGGTTGGGTTTCTTTTTGCATGACCAAACTTATACAATAAAAGGAAAGGACCACCTGATTCCTACATATTACCATAGTTAATCTTCCATACTATTTAAAGCTAGTGGGTGGTCATATCATTTGAACAGTATATATGCTGAATAGGGAGATGTTACTGTTTATGATAAACAGTTTCTTTATTAGGGGGCATTTTAAAATCGTTTTGGCAGCTTTGACAAGTATTTCAAAATTATCCCAGTACAACATCATGTGGAATAACATGTTAGCATACTAGTGTCAGTCAGTTACACTATGGTTTTCAGACTGGAAATATATAATAAATGGATCATTTACTTATCTCATCATATAACCTGAAATCCATGACACTTTCACAAGTGGTTGTGCCATCCTTGCAATATCAACATAATCAGGTCACCAACAGGCATGAACATTTTCACAGACAACTCAAACCATGCGAAAACAGCCTTAAGACTTGTCAAGCCATGAAAACAGTAATATACATTTGTGTGTTATTGTAGTCTACACTTTAATGCCAACCAGACTGATACAGTGTTGACTTAAGGGAAGACTTAATTCTGTGATGAGATACAGCAGTGTTTTATCTGCTTCCTGGGAACATACTACCACCTGATCAGTCCCATTTCCTTTCAACCTGATAAACAGACTTTAACCATGTACAACTACATTGCTATAAATTGTAAGCACGGTTCATGGAAACATAGCCACCAATTTTTTATACGCCATACATTCGAAAACTTAATGAAATGTAGATACACTATCTACCTGGATGCCACAGTGACATGTATATAATTTTTCCTCCTCTCAAACCCTTACAGAAAATTTAACATACATCATACACACAAAACACTAGGTAAGAAATTTCTTTTGTGTCGTGGAACGCTCATTTTAGGCAAAACAGATTACTGAAAATGACCTTTGAATGTTTGGTCCACTGTAAAATTCGCCTTTTCTGACTTGTTACTAATTCACCATTTACAGCATTATTCAGTTTCTCTCCTCACAGTTTCTGTAATGTTGTTAAAAAAAATGTTGCTTTCATTTGTGCACTTTTGTCAGTGCGCAATAAAAAGTGGAGAAATTTTCTGTCATTAAAGACAAAACAAAAACAAACAGACAATACTTAGCAGTCTTTCTTTCAAAGTCTATACATATGTGCAGTTCAGTTTGCACCACCAGATGGTAAAGTTTATTCTCTACATCTCTGCATACGTTCATAGCCGAAGGTAGATCCAGTGACATGCTAGCATATATCATTTATTCAGATCTGATGAATTGTGTGTTAGAAAAATACCTCAGCATCCATCTTTTTATGTTTCTAGTCAATATTTTGTCTCTGTAGGTTTATCATGCTTATGAACTATGACCTCTTTCTACATGAACTAAAAACTGTATGGATAATGAAAATCCAAACATTGACTTATTATGAACACTTTCAACTGAACATGTTATTGAGAGTGGTTAACATGAGTACGTGAAAGTCTGCAAGTCTTGAACATGCTGAAGTGAGTGAGCAAGTTGGGTTTTACATGGCTTTTAACAATATTCCAACAACATCACAGCGGGGGACACTAGAAATGGGCTTCACACAACGTACCCATGTGGGGAATCAAACCAGGGTCTTTGGCGTGACAAGTGAACACTTGAACCATTAGGCTACCCCTTCGCCCTTGAACATGCTGAAGGTGCTTGTTGATTCACCCTCCAAAATCAGCAGAATCTGGTGATTTTGCTGACTTGAAATGTATAGTTCATACATATATCTGTAATTTCTCTCTATAATCTCACATCATGACCAATCCTTGTGTCATTAAAACTTGAATATTTAGAATGGTCAAAAAATTCCAGGTTCAGAATCAACTAGATCTACAACAATAGTGTGATTCCCTGATAATGGTTCATGTGTTGAGATCATTTTTTAGGCCATTCCTAAATGATAAGATAAACACTAATAGGTGGTTAAGTTGGCAAGAGACCAACCCAACATTTGATGCAACAAACTGTATTACCATAATTCAGTATTGTCTGTATAGATACTTGGTTAATGAACCTGGACCCATTGTTATAGTCATGTGAACACCTTCTGTGCAAAGCCCGTCTACAGTTACTTCAGTCATTGCATCTACTTCTAATTATCAGTGAGTGAGTATGTATGGTTTTACGCTGCTTTCAGCAATATTTCAGCAATATCATGGAGGGGGAAACCAGAAATGGGTTCACACATTGTACCTAGGTGGGGAATCAGACCCGGGTCTTCGGTATGACGAGTGAATGCTTTAACAACTAGGCTACCCCAACCAACCCAAACTAATTATCAACAGGCAAATACAGTGGAAACCGCCTAAGTAAAGACCGCTTAACTAAACAGACCTGATAAGTAAACTCTTTTCTTTGGTCCCCGGCAAATTTCTTCATTAATTATCACTATTAGAGTCCTGTTAACTAAACTCGGATAAGTAAACGTCTTCTCATGGTCCCTGGAAGTAAATTACTTAACAAACGAGACTGGTTAACTAAATTAGCGATCACCACATAATCCGACATAAGGGGCAGTCGTGTCAGTCTCCAGTCAAACAAACATCCTACTTACAGCTCGCTGGCGTCAAGCAGTTGACAATACACTAACAACTGGAGGCCAGCCCTGATAAGTTGTTCATTGTTACATATGCATACATATACATGCCTATGGTTGTCATTTGCAGGTTTTTATAAGTTTGGATAAGTAAAATACCTGATAAGTAAACAATTTTGGCGAGTCCCTTGAAATTTTACTTATCAGGTTTTCACTGTACCTATCTTCCCTATCTTAAAAAAGGTCACATAGACAGATTGTACAACTACTGAATATTGTTGAATATTCAAAATATTTGGGTATGAAATAACACAGTGATTGACCCAAATTGAATAAGCAGCATCTTCTTCAGGTAAGGTCTTTATTCTGCTAATGACGAATGACAGATAAGCTATTTATGATTATTAAAGTTACAAATATCTACAGTATGTCATCAGCTTATAGTTTTAGCACCTTTAACCCTTAAGATTAAGTGAAGGTAGTTTCATTGAGCTTGATGGTGGGCATGGCCTTGCTGGAGATGACCTCTGGGAATATGAGCCATGTTCTGAGTGATCTGCTGGGCTTGCGTCTGCTGTACGATACTGTTGGATGTCACGACCTCTGTAATGTTATTGCATGGCTGGACAGCAAAATACTCCGTCATGGTGTCCCAGGCCACAGCCATTGTGGTGGCGTTATTGCACTGTCCTGAGAAAGAGCCATGAGACGTCTGCGCAGACTGAAGCAACCGAGCAGTCTCCACTTCGGCGACAGACGTTCCCCCTTGACGAAAGTTTGGCACTTTAGGAGTCCAGGCAGGAGCTGGTGCTGTGGAATAACTGTGGTCATCTCTCTCCTCTATGACAGTGAACGACCATGGCATTGGTCGAGTCTGTCGCTGAGGTGCCATTTGATCTTGGAACACTGGTCGATCCTTCACCTGCTGAAGCTGATCTGGACACTCCCTTCCTTGGGGCATCACAGTTACGGGCATGTTGGTCTGGCCGTTGATGAAGGTCACTGGAGCAGACACCTCCATGACAGTCTGAGGTGTTATCACATTGCTGGAGGTGGTCACGTTGGTGTTGATGTACCGCTCTAATGCTTTAGCTGCCTGATTGGGAGCCACAGCTACGGGGTTGTTGGAGTTGAGCTGTGGTGTGGAGAGGGTGTACAGGTTGTAAGAAGACGACGTCACAGCTGCCTCTGTGATATCACCAGCAGCTTGCGCTAGTGGATGTTCATCTCCCTCCGGAAGCTGTTGTCTCATGGTCTGTTCGTGTGTATACCTTACGTGGTTCGTCAGCAGCTTCTTCTTTGGAAATATCTCCGGGCAATGCTGACAACTGAACACTTGTTCTCCTTCAACCGGCTTCTCCTTTTTAGCTTCTTTACAATGGTTAGTTTTATAATGCCTGTGTAGATGATCTTTCCTCCCAAACGTCTGAGGACATAACTCACAAAGAAAACACTTCTCTTTAGTGTGCACAACCATGTGTCTTTTCACATCCTTATTTGTCCCAAACATTCTATTACATATTGGACACGCATGTTTCTTGGGTGTATCAACAAGAGACTTGTATCTATTGTGGGTGAGTGTATGTTTGATAAGATGCTCTTTGGTTTCATACTTGGCGGAACATATCATACACACAAGAGACACGCCTTCTTTGGCTTCATGCAAGGCCATGTGATAGTCGTAGGTGTTTTTATGTAAGTAAGACTTTCCACATTTGTCACATAGATATGAAAACCGATGTTGATCGTGAGTCTTGAGATGAGTCTTTAGGTGGTCCATTCTGTTGAATGCCTTATCACAATATGGACACTGTCTGTTCATGGGTTTACGGTGAGACAACATGTGCCTCCAATGAGTGAATTTGGTCACAAAGCCCTTCCCACAGTCAGGTACATCACAAGTGTAAGCGCTTTTCCCAGTGTGAGAAGCTTCATGTGCCCGATAAAAGTCTTCGGCCGCAAACTGTTCTGGGCAATATGAACAAGAAAACTTGGGTGTTCTCGCATATTTCTTCTTCTCACTACTCTCCCTCCTTTTCCGCTTGGTTTTACCTTTCGATCGATTTTGTGACTTCCGTCCTGCCTTCCTCTTGCTTTTCTTGGCCTTGACCTCTACCTCATACTCCTCGTCGTCATCATCCACATCATCGTCCTCATCATCATCTAGGGCCAGCTTCCTGGGACTGCCTTTCCGCCTGGTGGAGCCGGAGCCTCTCTTCCTCTTGCTGGACGTCTTCCTCGGGGTACAGGAGTGGCTGAACAGCTGGGTTTTGGTCTTGAACTGAGTGTCACACGAGATGCAGTGCGTCCCACTGTAACTGTCCGATGAACTGTCACCGTCTTCATTTTCCGCTACTTGGAACTCATCATCAGTGTTGTCTGCTACATCCACCTCCAATTCCGGCGGGGTTGTCATGTTATCATCTGAAACAAGTGTTACACTGTGTATTGTGTGATATGTAATTATAATTGAAGGTGAGGTGAGGTGAAATTGGATGTAATGTCGTTCTTGAGAATATTTCGCTCATATGACGACGTGCATGCGTGTGTATGTGCGGCTGCTTGTACTAGCCCAGATTTAAGCTGGTTTTATAGTGCTAGCCCACTGAGATACCATGCCGCAGTGAAGCATGGATACCCCACTCAGAAACATTATACTGACTCCGAGCCAACCAGTCCTTGTTGTACCCATTAATGCCGAGCACCAGGCAGGGACCAACAAGTACCATATTTTAACGTCTTTTGGCATGACGCGGTCAGGGATCGAACCCGCGACCTTCCGCTCTGCGGGCGGACGCTATAACCACTACACCACGGAGGCGGTAATTATATTGAAACAGTTGTGAAAACAAAGATAATGCAGATAACACACTCCTGTAATATCAGTTAGAAACTATATCCTGACAAAGACTCTTAGGAACTCACATTTGCTGCTCTGAACACATTCTCGTTTATATAAGAATTTAGAACTCTTGATGTTTGTTAGTTGATTCAAAACTTGATGCAACTTCCTTTCTTCTATTATTATTTTTTGGGGGGTAAGGGTGTCTGTGTCTTGTGTCTGTTCATGCAGAGAAATATCATATCAAAATGGAACATAAATTAATGAGACTGATGGAGAATTATTACACACCAGCATTCAATTTATTTGTCTTAGTAAAGAAATGAAGAAGTAACAATGACGGACCCGATTCCAGCGGATACTGACCTCCTTTGTGTTGCTTCCCCTGCTTCCCTTTGTCTGTCCCTGTCTCCTGTTGGACATCAGTGAACAGAGACATGCCGATCTTCACTGCATAGTCTGCAGCATACCACACCTTCAACTCCTTCCCATACTCTATCGGCTGCAAAACAATATACCTTCATAATGTACCACACCTTCATAATGCATTATATCTTCATGACATACCACACCTTCATAACATACCACACCTTCATAACATACACCTCCATAACATACCACACCTTCATAACATAGTACACCTTCATAACATACCACACATTCATAACATACCACACCTCCATAACATACCACACCTCCATAACATACCAAACCTTCATGACATACCCCACACCTTCATGACATACCACACACCTTCATGACATACCACACCTCCATGACATACCATACCTTCATGACATACCACACCTTCATAACATACCACACTTTCATGACATACCAAACTTTCATGACATACCACACCTCCATGACATACCAAACCTTCATGACATACCAAACCTTCATGACATACCACACTTTCATGACATACCACACCTCCATGACATACCACACCTTCATGACATACCAAACCTTCATAACATACCAAACCATCATGACATACCACACCTCCATGACATACCCAGCTTCATGACACACCAAACCATCATGACATACCACACCTCCATGACATACCACACCTTCATGACATACCAAACCTTCATAACATACCACACCTTCATGACATACCACACCTTCATGACATACCACACCTCCATAACATACCACACCTTCATGACATACCAAACCTTCATAACATACCACACCTTCATGACATACCACACCTTCATGACATACCACACTTTCATAACATACCACACCTTCATAACATACCACACCTTCATAACATAGTACACCTTCATGACATACCACACCTTCATGACATACCACACCTTCATGACATAGTACACCTTCATGACTAACCACACCTCCATAACATACCACACATTCATGACATACCACACCTCCATAACATACCACACCTCCATAAACATACCACACCTCCATAACATACCACACATTCATGACATACCACACCTCCATAACATACCACACATTCATGACATACCAGGGGCAGTGGGGTCAAGATTTTACCAAACGTACTAATTCCAGGGTCCTTACAGGGAATATGAGTGTCCTGTAAAGTGATGGAATCATGTGGCAGACTGTACTGTAAGGTTTAAAGATTACCTTGATTACAGGAACTAGATATTTCTTGTAACAAATTGTGAACAGTGAATATACTAGTAATTGTGCATTCCAGGGGACACAGTATATGTATATTTCTGTGTCCATTCTATACACTGGACACACATTTCTGAATCGCGTAAAACCCTGCTAAAATTGCTGAAATATTGCTAAAAACGTCATAAAACTAGACTCACTAACTCACTTACTCATAACAAACCAGAGCATAACATACCACACCTTTATAACAACACACCTTCATAACATTAGCAATGATATATCTGCATGACATTAGCCATTCTACATCATAATATTCGCCATACTGCATGCCATATATGTATTATTTTCACCAAGACGAATTACTGTTATGTTTCATGAGCAAGTCAGCAGTAGTTCAGATATGGTAAAACACCAGTGTCATGTAAATAACAACACAAACCAGAGTTGTACAAGAAGGGCACAACAACAAATTATTATATCCATCATTATTACCCGCCCATGAAAGATACTGCAGTGTAATATTTTTACGGCAATATTACACTAGTGTAATACCGCTAGACGTATGATGTCATAACGATTTACAGTTATGACGTCACAATGCTAATACCTCTGTCACAGAGGTATGAGACCTTGCTTGACTCGCAGAAAGCTGAGAGTCATCACACTGTAGGCAGTTTCTATCATTTTATGTTGGAGAGTAATAAACAAAATACTAAACTCGCTTCCATGAAATACAATTTTTATCAAACTTGTGAAAGATTTAGTATCAATACCAAATCATTAACTCGTTTAATAAAAATGATTTAGTAAATAAAGATCATTTAGTATCCTCTATATATTTAATTGTTACACAAACATGGTAAAAGATGGTGTACAGTCAACTTCACTTTAGAATAGGGAATCAACAGTGTTGTTGTTACCTTGATGGTTGTATAGTAGACCATACGGTCATACACATAAGCGGCCATGTTCTGGTCAGTATAGGTCTGGGCCGGCTGCACAAACATCATCCAGTTACACTCCGCCTCGCTGCTCAAGTCATACAGCAACATGTCGTCATCACTGTCATAGCCCTGCAATGTACACACACATTATGATGAGTGCCGGAGATGTCAGTGAACACTATTCCACATCGCTGTGGTGACGATGACACACAAGTCTCAGACTCTGATTTACTGGATTCAATTCAGTTGTCTCATAACACAAGTAACAGACACATGCAACAGTGAGTGAGTGAGTTCTACGCCGCTTTTAGCAATATTCCAGCAATATCATGGCGGGGGACACCAGAAATGGACTTCACATATTGTACCCATGTGGGGAATCAAACCCGAGTCTTCGGCTTGACGGGTGAACACTTTAACCACTAGGCTACCACACCGCCCCCACAGGTGCCATAACCATAGGTAGGTTCTGTTATTGATATATCAACAGAAACTGATCTTACTAACTTTGGTGCCAGGCTCGATGTCATACTCATCACTAATAGGCATATGAACTTCATATATTGAACAGTACATCTGAATAAAATCAAGTCAAGCAGAGTTAACCCCCTTGACAAAGCCGGCACAAACATTTTCAAATATGACCCCGGTATCTCAAAGTTAGTTATGAGAGGTTATTTTTATTACAACATACCTTAAGGTAAAAGTCGGAGTGTCCTTTGTCTGACTTGCTTGTATCTGTACAGAATGGAGCCTTGAGTGGACCAAACTGAGTGCGTGCCTTTATGTATTTTTTGGCAAAGACACCTTCCCCTTTACTACCTGAAAATCACACAGAACACAATATGTCAAATAAAAAGTACTCATTCAGAAAATGAAAACTAATGTGTCTATGATTGTTTTCTTATCCCTTTTTATCATGTTAGAGGCCATTGTGTTTATACTTGTTGGACCAAGCTGTCTACCACCAAAGGTTTGTTTGTCAACTTCCTCACGTACAAGTTTCATATACAGACATTTGTCAGTGGGAACAGCGTTTACCTACCAACTTTAATAACCAGCACAGATGGCAGCGTAAGTCGAGCATATGTCGGGACGTGTGAGTCAGGAACAGTAATCAGGGAGCCATGTTTCCGACAATGGCCGACATTGCTCTTGCCACAGTCTTGACACCCTGCAACATACCAGTGAGTGAGTTTAGTTTTACGCCGCACTCAGCAATATTCCAGCTATATGGTGGCGGTCTGTAAATAATCGACTCTGGACCAGACAATCCAGTGATCAACAGCATGAGCATCGATCTGCGCAATTGTGAACCGATGACATGTGTCAACCAAGTCAGTGAACCTGACCACCCGATCCTGTTAGTCGCTTCTTACGACAAGCATGGGTTACTGAAGATCAATTCTAACCCAGACCTTCACGGGTGTGCAACATACCAAATTACAACAGTAATACACAGACACAAACGGTAACATATATCAACAGATTGTGATTCAACATGTTTTAATCAAATCTATAAATACTATTAAAATATTGACATAACTGGTCAACCTCAGCACAAGGGATGAAATGAGTGAGTGAGTGATGGATGGAGGGATGTTATATACCACTTTTAGCAATATTCACAGCGGGGGACACCAGAAATGGACTTCACACATTGTACAAGTATTCATTGATACGGAAACTCCAGTGTTTGAAATAACACATACAAGGGGGCTTGTCTAACAGATCTTTACCATTTCAATGAAACTAACCTACAGAGATGGAAAATAATCAAGGACAATCAAAAGAACACAATTAGGGCAAATCTGGCTCCCATATAAAAGAGGATCCTGGTATGGCTAAGTGAGTGAGTGAGTTGGGTTTTACGCTATTTTTATCAATATCCCAGCAATATCATGCCTGGGGACACCAGAAATGGGCTTCACACATTGAACCTTTGTGGGGAATCGAACCCAGGTCTTTGGCATGATGAGCAGATGTTTTAACCACTAGGCTACCCCATAGCCCCTGGCATGGCTAAGGGAAGCAACCCAGCAAGATAAGGAGATTAAGACTACTGAGACACCCATGTCCCTGAGTCACAAGAAACACATGTACATCCAAACCTCGGAAGACTCGTCATGCTGGTTAACGGTCACAACTTCTAACATGTAACTGATACATTAAGCATAGGAATCAGGTTAAAACATGCCCCATATTTCTCACATAAAAGATTCCGCTGGGGTGACCTCGCAGCTCTTCTTCCAGAGCGAGTAACAGCTGCATCCTTTCCCCTAAGTTCCACATGCTGTAGAAGTTCCTGTTGAGATCGTGTGTTGTGAGATTCCACCTTTCCTGTCCCTGACACACCCAGGTTGACCTGTCTATTGTCTTCTTGCTGTGGAGATGCTGTCTTGGCGGAACCTTCAGCTGATGAGTCACACTCAGCAGGTGACCCACATTCAACTGAGGACCCTGAGGGCTGATGTTCCTGACTGGAGAGCTGGTCCGATTTCTGCTCTTCAGATTTCAATGAAACATTAATCGTTCTAGAGTCAGTCAGTCCTGAAACAATCTGATCCTTCATATCTTTGTCCGAGTAATTGTAATCCACTAAATATACAGCAGTATTTTCTCTGTCATCATTAGAAATGAGAATCTGCATTTTAGGATCAACACCTTCCTGTCCTTCCAAGTCCCTGTGAGAATGACCTTGAGTGACCTCCTTGACTATATTGTTTGGAAGCAGAGCGTCTGCCTCCATCCCACTGTTTTCAGCTTCAGTCATCACTGCTGTCAGTGTCTGCAAACCTCCGATCTCATGGATGGCCTTCGCATGGACCTCTACTTCAACAGCAGGGAAGTCGGTCACAACAGCATCAACTTCTGCTAAAGACCCAACATTGTTAACATCCTGAACGGCTTGAAGAATCTGCTCCGCCATGGTTATCAGTTAGAATCAGACCTCATCTTGACATGACTGCTCAGCTGGAGATGTCCTGAAAGTGTAAGAACACTGCACAATATAGTGAAATCAAACTACACTGAAAAATCATGGTACATGTAGTATGCAAATATTGTTTCTTAAAAACATAACATAAAGTATTAGATAAGCAGTGAATATTCTCAATATGTACAATGATAATAATTGCCAAATTTCTGCACACATTTTATCATGCCTGACTGCCGAAAGTTCAAACAACAGACACGGCAGAACAAGTATAAGACTGTCTGTCACAGTGACACTTACGGCTGCTATCATAAATAATAACACAATCAGCCAGTCATCAGAATGACATTCAGCACAGAAATCGCATGCATAACATTGCTAGTAGCAGACAATCAACAATTAGCTACCAATTTGCTTTTTAATTGTTTGGAATAGATGAGGCCAGCATAACTTAATTATCATGACAATTAGACCAATTTTATGACCTGTTTTTCCTATTCCACCTTCTACATTTTAATCATTTACAGAAATTTGTAAGCGAAGAATTTCATTTTCAGCATTGTGTTTTGAATCCATTTTATCATTGTATATTTCAGCATTTCAGTTACACTCACATTTTGACCATGATTGTTCTCTCCTGCTCACTCAAGCCATAACTTCATTTGGAAAGGATTGAAGTGAAGCCTTAAAATGCACAGGAAGACATGGCAGTAGGTGTAAAGCATAAATGGATTTGAGTTAATTTCAAAAGTTTAATATTTTGGGGTGTGCAATAAGATTAGAAAAGAGGTATCTCAATACACTAGAATGGCCATACAAAATGAAAAGTCTTAAAGGCAAAATAATGCCATACACATGATAGTCACTTAATACTGATGCTGGAAATCTTTTCTTAACTATGGAAATGAAACATAAAATGTCCTTGACTGATGCTAATGGCAATGTTTGTGTTGTCATACTTGTGTTGTTACTCATGCATTTCAGTTAAACAGAAGCGACATGATGGACTGACCATATCTTCACAAACAGGCTACTATCCTGCCAGGCTGGGATATATTCCTTTTTGCAGATCATGTTTGGATAAATAACACTCCAGTTCAAGTAAAAACACTCCTTTTAACAATATTTATGAATATTATAGTGTAGTTAACGCAAATAGCAAATTGAATTCATAAAGAGATACGGTTCAATTCACTGAATACGTATGTGACTCGTAACAGCCCAAGTAAGTATATTGTTTTGACCGTAAGCATGTAAAATAGTTGGATATCTGGAATAATACTCTGTCTTATCATCAGTTGTGGAAAGAGAGGCAATTAATTCTTCCTTTTTTGTTTGTGTAATTATCCAGCTGATCAAATGCATGATATGAGAGACAACTCCATTCCGATTAATTCATAGAATCCTCTCACAAAAAGACATTTACTAGCAAAATTAGTTCACACGTAATTCTACACCTACAGAGGTGTTGGGAAAATTGTGAATGCTTGTGTATACTTAGTGAAGACTACTAAAAATAAGGAATTAACTAAGACAAAGTCTAGACCTTTCATAAGTTCTGATTAAAACTAAGATAACAGCAGTTAATAACAGAGATTTCAGATGAAAGAAAAATAAAACTGTTTCACCCTATTGTTCACATTTCCTCATTTTTATAAGGATATAAACATTGTCCAATTTTCACTCCTCTTAAAATGAAAAGAAAATTATTTTTTTTCATCATCATGTAGCAAAGTTGCTTTTTATTATGAAGATTATCATTGCCTTTTGGTAAGTTGCAACATAACAGGTCTGTGATAATTGATAAAAAAGATACGGTATATATGTTTCAGTGTCACTTACTCTACTCCAGGTTCTACACTTGAATTTGAAAGTTTTCAATTAAATTTCAAATAAAATATGTTTGTCAAAATAAAGAAAGCTGAATAACTCCATTGTTTATCTCAACCCATTGACAGCATGCTTTTTCTTACAATCATACTGTAACCACACTGGCGTACTGTGACAGTTGACTCAACATAATAAGGTCACAGTACACATGGAAATTCATTACTGTGACCTAACTTCTGAAGAAACAGTTACCTGGAGGCCCTCGCAAGGTTCTACGCAAAACGTAACATTACAAAAGTGTGGTTTCCATATCAATATGTAGTTTGAAAGAGGGATATCTAGGTGCTGAAAACGATAATTTTACAAAATCCGCAATTCAAACTGCGTAAATGAGTAATATCTGAGCACAAACCTCATCTATTTCATGGTCTGCACAATTTCCAACCTTGTCTGGCGACGCCATTACTGACAAAGTATTGTGGGTCGGGAAAACCCCTCGCATAAAGCTCCGAACACCGATATCGCAGACCGCTTCGTTCAGTGTCACAAGATGAAATGTGTTATACGCGTTGGAGTAGAGTTTGTACACCCGCAACCAGCCAAATGATTGTCAGACAACACATTTTGTCGAAGGTTTATGTCACTCTATGTTTTTAGATATTTACGACTGTTCTGTAACAACTTAGCTATTCTGATCACATATCAGTATTTTGTAAATTATCTTTATTGCAGAAAAGTTGACATTACCTCAAAGATATTTGCCCTACATTTGAAATGCAATATAACTAACATTAGTTTTACTTGATACTTTCTTTACAAAAACAAAATGTCAGCGCGCACGAAGGACCTGTGTTGATTTGTTTGCATTGAAATTTATCTGATATTTGCAGCGTATTTCTAAAATGACTTCCACGGGTGGACGTGCCATTAACGAAAATGAGAGACAAAACAAAATTGATCGATCTACAAGACAAGCATCAGCTGACAAGAACCCTTGTATGACGGTACGGTCTGACGCTATCACTGACGTAGCCGAGAGCCGCGATGCGTTCCTGTACTTGACCGTATAGGACCGCATCGCGGCTCTAGGCTAACGGTGACAGTACATTCGTTGCTTCAAACCCATAAAAATACCCTCGTGTTATGGGTTTGCGAAACATTCGACATTGTTTTCTCGCTGCTCACTTGAACAACTTAACCTGTCGCTCAGTTTATCTTACAAAACAACCCATCATAAATACAATGTGTGTGAAACCCACACCTCTTCTGTGCTCTTCAGCCTCTTGTTCAAGTTGTTGTAGTGCAAGTAATCGGGAAGTCAGAAATTGTATGATTTCCAAACACATATAATCCGACGTTATATTTTGGGCATGACTTAGCGAAAACTGACCCGTCTGTAACTGTCTCTTCTCGAAATGTTGCAAAGTGTTGGCTAATTTGATTAAACCAGTATTCCAGGATAACTCCAAACTGGCAAAATAATTTTGATCCTCCACACAGCCCTATCTAAAGTATCTGTGTCTGGTAAAGTGTGCAATACTCCCATATTTATCATGTAACTTTTATATCCTAAAGTATGTTCTGGTCGTACACCATGATGTGGCTAGAACACTGTTCAGCAGCATGAAACAGGTCAGCGATGTCATGCTTTAAATTACAGTAATGAATCAATATATATTTTCTCTATTTGATAGACAAACATATTAATATAATTTCTAATGGTGGAATTTTGTTTTCTTTCAACAGGAACAAAAAATGTCATATAAATGCTTGGATGACAATGGGTATGACAGAGAGAAGTGCTCCAAGTGTTTCCAGAATTACAGAAACTGCAGGGAATTTTGGGTATGCCTGTTATGTAAAACTTTTGGAATATCATTAACAAGAAACTCTATTGACAATCAGAGTTTTAACTTGTAGATTATGTCTATGTTAATTGCTAATCATGTTTATGCAGTTTTCAAACTTGTCAGTTATTAGCATAAATCATGAAGAAAATCACTTAGGACTGTAAGAAATTATCATCAATCATTTACCAATATATTCATGATGGTGCATTGCAATACTCTAGGATATGAGAAAGAATCATTTAGCCAGATGGTGTGTCAATAGTATCAGCCTCTCTCTCTCTCTCGATCGATCGATCGAGTTCTAGCGTATAAGAAAAACCTTTACCATCATTTTCAGAGCCGCATCATGACGGACAGAAAGAAGAAAGGCATTGTCCCAGCACTTCCCCCAGTAGAAGAAAGGGACAAAGTTCGAACTGAGTACAGCCACATCCTTGGCTGGTGACATAGGTGTAGGCTAGGTCAACTCTTGTCACTGTGTGTGTTGAGACTTGTGTGCATGATATTAGTAAACAGGACTGAATGTATAAGAGATGTCGGCTGTTGCGGTTTCAGTGGAATCGCTAGATGTTTATTTGAATAATCAACCAAAATTAAAAATTGAAATGTCACAGCAATGCAGTCTCATAAAATCAGATATTGATGCTCCTTACCTCAACATCTAAATCTGAGGACATCCCGTACAGGTCACATCAGAAAGACATTTTGTGAACTTCGATCGACCAGTGAAATGACTAATAATTAGAAGTTGACATAAGCTCATCAGAAAACAGCATTCTCATGCTTTACAGCATTGTTCCATATTAGCAACCTCAATTCTAGAAATCGCTTTATATGTTATGAAATCAAAATTTGAAAACTGAACTAAAGGATGGCTGATTGGTGGCCAAAATTGAATTGGAGTATTTCCATGCTATGTGAAGTCACTTGAAATGTTTTTTCTCACTGAATCCAGATATAAAGGGATGATTTTTGACTGGATCAGACTTACAGCCTTTCACTGTCACTCTGAATACTCCGTGTTAACCTTTACAAGGGTGCATGATGACTGTCACTTTCCCAGTCTGTGTTTGGTCAGATGATTGGCCAATCATAATGGGATGTCATCAGGACTTTGTTGGGCATTAATGAGACCTGGGATCTGATTTTAACGAGACTTCACATCAGTGCCAAAGTTGTTCTGTTTTACTGCATGTCAGGACATAAGTGCAGTAATCTTGAACACCACTACATGTACACACTGCATTCCTCCATTACCTATGAATACGTTCAGCTGCTTTGAGGGTCAGTGGGGTAGCCTAGTGGTTATGGCGCTCGCGTCGTCACACCGAAGACCTGGGTTCGATTCCCAAATGGGTACAATTTGTGAAGCCCTTTTCTGTTGTCCCCTGCCATGATATTGCAGGAATATTGCTAAAAGCACTGTAAAATCATACTCACTCACTCACTTCAGCTACTTGGTGGTATCGGTCCAACAAAGCAAGCCACACCCTTCAGTGGGTGTTCAAACCAATGAGCTCTCAAGTTACCTCTGCAGAATTCTTGTGCAGCATTTGGACAAGCCTTGTGGCCATCAACTCTGTGTATTACTTCTGTATCGTTTCATAAAAGGGATCACACATAGTTCTTGCACAGACTAGTCTTGTCAACATCTTGGTGTTGTCCATGGTCACATCACAATTACACTGAAGACATACGTTGTTACAGGTGATCAAGAAATGTAGTGTACAACATGAAGCACTGACGATGACAATCATTAAAGAGAACATTCACTACCTCTGAGTGTAGTATTGGGGTCTCTGACAACTCTCCACATTATGGTATAGAGGGGCTCGCATTTAAATAAAAAATATGTCTCTCATTTCTAGAGAGAGCCAGATTGTTCGCTAAAGTATGCAGGAACTCCTATGTTTTGAAATAGGAATGTGATCACTCTGTGAAGGAAATTTCTGTGATTATGGCTGTGTTACAGATGGAATTGTCTGTGGAGATGTATTATTGTAATTCACTTGTACATGATGAATACTTTATAATGATCAGTATCATCATTGATATTGGTGCTGTTAATTATTTTGATCATGTATTTGAACGTATAGTTATGTAATTATATATTTTATTGGCAATAAATTATGTCCTGGTTTTAAAAATCTCATATTTTTAAACTTATCCTATCTCACGACTTGCACCTCTCTCTCTTGCTTTGACTTTTAGTGGAAGGACTATAAACTTTTTTCCATAGGCCTCCTTGTCCATTCGCCCGTGCACTCCATGCTGCTCTCCTTAATTAGCTTCCTAGTTCCTAATACAGCTTGCAGCATGCTCCACTAATTGCCCACATGACTACCTTGAATGATCATTCTCTTTCTTGTCGCACGACTGTGTGGACGTGCTGTATATTAGGGACATTATTTCACCCTAACATCATGGGGAAAGGTGATAATCAGTCAAGGAAAAGGAAAGTTTGTGCTCAATGCTCGTCCCTCGACCCTCAATCATCTTGCAGTGGCTGTATTGGACAATGTAACTGGAACAAACGATGTGGCAAGTGTAATTCACTAATAGATGAGGATTTTAAGGCCTACCTTCGTGTTTGCTCCCAGGGAATCGCCGATAGGGACAGGAAATCAACAGAATCTGATCCCACTCCCGCCAAGTGTATCAAGTTACAGCAACAGAAAATCGTACCTTCACGCAAGAGAGCGACGTCTGTGGTTCAAGAGGATTTTATGGACGCTTCATCAGATTCTTACTTATCTGAGGATGTTCGGCACCTATTACGTATGCATCAGTCACCTCCTTCCACAGCGTCAGATCACTCGCGGGTGGTTGTGATCGATAATTCTTTGTTGCCTGTCCCATCTACACTACCAGGGGACCTTAGATCGACAATATCATCATCCAGATCATCGGTACATATCCCCTCGACTGTCTCAGTTTGTTTGGAGCCTGGCCAACCGCGTTCAACCAGCCAACTGTCTCCCCACAGTTCATTGAACCGGACGGAGCTGGCTACAACAGCATCGCAGGGGGACGTTGATCATGAATCAACACTTCAGGTTTTGTCACCTAATCGCCGATCCAGATCGACACATCATTTTAGATCACCACAACGATCTAGATCACCTTCACAATCCAGATCACCATTACAAGCCCGATCTAGATCACCGTGCCGATCCAGATCACAGTCACGATCCAGAGCACAACTACGATCCACATCACCTCATCAATCCAGATCACCTACCCGATCCAGATCACCAAACGGGTCCAGATCACAACTTCGATATCACATCACCAGACAGATCCAGATCACCGAACCAATCCAGATCACAACATCGAAGTAGATCATCGGACCGATCCAGATCACCGAATGGATCCAGATCACAACTTTTAATCAGATTACCGGACTGATCCAGATCACCGAATGGATCACCGGACCGATCTACGTCACCTGACCGATCCAGATCACAACATCGAAGTAGATCGCCAGACCGATCCAGATCACCGAACCGATCCAGATCACAACATCTAAGTAGATCACCTAACCGATCCAGATCACCAAATCAAGCCAGATCGCAACTGCAAACCAGATCACCTGTTCGATCCAGATCACCTTATAGATCCAGATCACGATCACAGTTTCCAGTTAGTGCATCGAATCGATCCAGATCACTTTACAAATCCAGATCATCTGTACAGATCCACATCTCATGGCCGATCCTATTCAGATGGTCGAACCAGAGCTCCAATCAGAACCAGATCACCATCTAGAACTACAGCGACCCGGACTAGTTCTTCATATCATACTGGATCACCTAGCCATACTAGGGAATCCAGATCACCGGCTTACCAACCTACTTCGGTACTTACCACATCGAGATCTTGATACAGTTCCTCTGACCGACGTTCGGGTGATCATTGCTCTGATACCAATAATAGGCCTACAGTCTCTTATGATGTTCTGTCTACACGCTCTGAGAATCCTTCAACTCACTCTAGGATCATCGCTGAGTCATGGGAACCTGATAACAATCCCACTCATACAGCGACTCCAGATCTAAATATGATGAACAGGGCTATAACCTCAGCCTGGAACCAAATACAGCCTTCTACTCCAGCCCATCCGGCTTCGGTAGCCCCTGGCTCTTCATCCGGTCCACCTCCTGAGATTGATCCAGTCCAAATAGCCATGCATGCATCTCCCGCATGTTCTCTACCCCTGGGGGGTAGCTTTGCAGTAGTTGAGACACCTCAGGTACTCCTTTGGATTGTTGAGAAGCTCCAACTTCCCTTGAGTACTTCAGCAGATAACCTTGATCACTCTTATACTCCTAAGGAACCGGGATTGGTCTACCATCACCCTACCACCTCGACCTTGTATTCTGAAATTATCCAGTACACTAAATGATGGTTTCAAGAGCCTGAAACGAATTAAGGACGGATTCTCTGCTCCCAGATATAATCCTTCTACTTCTCATGTCCACGGCCTAGCAAAAATCTCTACGGCTCCAACAGTTGATGAGGATATTGGAACCCTGTGTGGCAAACAAGCTGCTTTGCCCTACCTTATTGAGGACCGAGAGTTGGCTCACATGGATTCAGCCGTGAGAAAGACGTTGCCATCTATTAGTTGCGTGATTGCAGCAGTCGACGCTGTTAACACTGCTCTGGAGCATACTTACTCTGATCAAGACGCTTTCATCCGAGGATGCATGACTTTAGCTCTGGACCAGTTCCAAATTATCCTGGATCAGTTGTGTCATTTTTTGGGCTACACTCTTGCTGTTCGCTGACGTGGACCCCTTAACATCTCTTCATGGAAGGAGCGCTTTAAAACAGAACTGTTTCACCAGCCTTGGTTTACTGACTCCCTCTTCAATGGTAGCATCCAAGAAGTATCTAATAAAGTTGATAAAGAAACCCACTTTCAACTCGCGATTGAACTGTTAAAGATACAGAAGTCACAGCTCCAGGACTCATTAAAACAGCGTCGAACTGCACAGTTCCCCCCTACCAATCCGGTTTTACGCAATCTTTTTCTTGCCGCATCTACTCAAGGCTGTGCCAGAGGAAAAAGACCTGGTCGTGGTGGTTCCTCCCGTCGCCCCCCAGGACCAACTCTGGCCCAGGGACCAGCGCCGGGAAGCAGTGACTGCTTGAGACAATCGCACGACTGGGACCTCCCACCCCCAGTCGTTCCGATTTACAACACTCCGTTAGGCGGGAGATTGCAGATCTTCGCCCTGAATTGGACCTTCCTCAAAGATCCGTACGTCACCCACCTGCTACTCTACGGCTATCAGCTACCCGTTATTGGCAGTCCACCTCTGACGTCACATCCGGCTCATCGCTCATATCCTGTGGACCAGCTTCAGACTCTGCAATCCACAATAGGTATGCTATTAGTCAAACTCGCGATAGAGCTCTTAGGTCCATCGCCGTCACTCCAGGATTCTACTCCCCCATCTTCTTGGTTCCCAAGAAAAATTCCAACAAACTCTGGCTCATCTTCAATATGAAGTTATTCAATGCCCGATTCCTCCTTCCACCGCCTCACTTCAGGATGGTGTCTATCAACCTTTTACGCTCCATCCTGAAGAAGGGAGACTTCCTCATCAGCCTTGATCTTCAGGATGCTTATCTTCACGTTCTGATACATCCAAAACACCAGAAGTACCTTCGCTTCGTGTTCAACGGGAATCACTACCAATGGAAAGTCCTTCCATTTGGAATTGGGGCGGTGGGGTAGCCTAGTGGTTAAAGCGTTGGCTCGTCACGCCGAAGGCCCGGGTTCGATTCCCCACATGGGCACAATGTGTTAAGCCCATTTCTGGTGTCCCCCGCCGTGATATTGCTGGAATATTGCTAAAAGCGGCGTAAAACTAAACTCAGTCAGTCCATTTGGAATTTCCATGGCCCCATGGCTTTTTACCTGAATTACCAATCCCATAATGAGCTTCCTCCACTTTCAAGGGATCGGAACTAATATCGATTCAGAAACTCCAATTCATCAGAGCACTGTTCGACACTCGTCAGGGGATGATGTTTGTATCTCACGACAGGTGGATAAAGATTCAGCAATGCATTCCTCCAGCACTGTCTCAGGCGAGAACCTTACGACAGTGGCAGGAGCCACGGGGCCTTCTGACGTCAGCTCATGCCTTAACGTACAGAGGCCAGCTCCAACTTCGGCCGATACAGAGATTTCTACGCCCGTACCTTCAGGCCAACAACCCCAAGGAGTGAGATTTGTTCAGGTTTCCTCTATATAGTGTCACATGTCAGTTTGAAACAGGGAGTGAGATTTGTTCAGGTTTCCTCTATATAGTGTCACTTGTCAGTTTGAAACAGGGAGTGAGATTTGTTCAGGTTTCCTCTATATAGTGTCACATGTCAGTTTGAAACAGGGAGTGAGATTTGTTCAGGTTTCCTCTATATAGTGTCACATGTCAGTTTGAAACAGGGAGTGAGATTTGTTCAGGTTTCCTCTATATAGTGTCACTTGTCAGTTTGAAACAGGGAGTGAGATTTGTTCAGGTTTCCTCTATATAGTGTCACATGTCAGTTTGAAACAGGGCGTGAGATTTGTTCAGGTTTCCTCTATATAGTGTCACATGTCAGTTTGAAACAGGGAGTGAGATTTGTTCAGGTTTCCTCTATATAGTGTCACATGTCAGTTTGAAACAGGGAGTGAGATTTGTTCAGGTTTCCTCTATATAGTGTCACATGTCAGTTTGAAACAGGGAGTGAGATTTGTTCAGGTTTCCTCTATATAGTGTCACATGTCAGTTTGAAACAGGGAGTGAGATTTGTTCAGGTTTCCTCTATATAGTGTCACATGTCAGTTTGAAACAGGGAGTGAGATTTGTTCAGGTTTCCTCTATATAGTGTCACATGTCAGTTTGAAACAGGGAGTGAGATTTGTTCAGGTTTCCTCTATATAGTGTCATGTCAGTTTGAAACAGGGAGTGAGATTTGTTCAGGTTTCCTCTATATAGTGTCACATGTCAGTTTGAAACAGGGAGTGAGATTTGTTCAGGTTTCTCTATATAGTGTCACATGTCAGTTTGAAACAGGGAGTGAGATTTGTTCAGGTTTCCTCTATATAGTGTCACATGTCAGTTTGAAACAGGGAGTGAGATTTGTTCAGGTTTCCTCTATATAGTGTCACATGTCAGTTTGAAACAGGGAGTGAGATTTGTTCAGGTTTCCTCTATATAGTGTCACATGTCAGTTTGAAACAGGGAGTGAGATTTGTTCAGGTTTCCTCTATATAGTGTCACATGTCAGTTTGAAACAGGGAGTGAGATTTGTTCAGGTTTCCTCTATATAGTGTCACATGTCAGTTTGAAACAGGGAGTGAGATTTGTTCAGGTTTCCTCTATATAGTGTCACATGTCAGTTTGAAACAGGGAGTGAGATTTGTTCAGGTTTCCTCTATATAGTGTCACATGTCAGTTTGAAACAGGGAGTGAGATTTGTTCAGGTTTCCTCTATATAGTGTCACATGTCAGTTTGAAACAGGGAGTGAGATTTGTTCAGGTTTCCTCTATATAGTGTCACATGTCAGTTTGAAACAGGGAGTGAGATTTGTTCAGGTTTCCTCTATATAGTGTCACATGTCAGTTTGAAACAGTGAGATTTGTTCAGGTTTCCTCTATATAGTGTCACATGTCAGTTTCAGGGAGTGAGATTTGTTCAGGTTTCCTCTATATAGTGTCACATGTCAGTTTGAAACAGGGAGTGAGATTTGTTCAGGTTTCCTCTATATAGTGTCACATGTCAGTTTGAAACAGGGAGTGAGATTTGTTCAGGTTTCCTCTATATAGTGTCACATGTCAGTTTGAAACAGGGAGTGAGATTTGTTCAGGTTTCCTCTATATAGTGTCACATGTCAGTTTGAAACAGGGAGTGAGATTTGTTCAGGTTTCCTCTATATAGTGTCACATGTCAGTTTGAAACAGGAGTGAGATTTGTTCAGGTTTCCTCTATATAGTGTCACATGTCAGTTTGAAACAGGGAGTGAGATTTGTTCAGGTTTCCTCTATATAGTGTCACATGTCAGTTTGAAACAGGGAGTGAGATTTGTTCAGGTTTCCTCTATATAGTGTCACATGTCAGTTTGAAACAGGGAGTGAGATTTGTTCAGGTTTCTATATAGTGTCACATGTCTTTATAGTGTCAGGTTTCCTCTTTATAGTGTCACATGTCAGTTTGAAACAGGGAGTGAGATTTGTTCAGGTTTCCTCTATATAGTGTCACATGTCAGTTTGAAACAGGGAGTGAGATTTGTTCAGGTTTCCTCTATATAGTGTCACATGTCAGTTTGAAACAGGGAGTGAGATTTGTTCAGGTTTCCTCTATATAGTGTCACATGTCAGTTTGAAACAGGGAGTGAGATTTGTTCAGGTTTCCTCTATATAGTGTCACATGTCAGTTTGAAACAGGGAGTGAGATTTGTTCAGGTTTCCTCTATATAGTGTCACATGTCAGTTTGAAACAGGGAGTGAGATTTGTTCAGGTTTCCTCTATATAGTGTCACAAGTCAGTTTGAAACAAGAGGAATGCACAAAGTGATGCAGGACCTTGAGGTTACTTCTAGTTATTGGGACTAACAGATCTTGTTTGTTGATTAACGCAGCACTCAGCCATGTCTCAGCTATATACAGCTGGGCCAGAATATATATATATATTCAATCGAGTCTGGGCCAGACAATCCAGTGATCAACATCATGAGCATATATATGTCATTCGGATACAATGACGTGTCAACCAAGCCAGGGAGTCTGACCACCCGATCCCATTAGTCGCCTCTTACGACAAGCATGGGTTGCTGAAGACCAATCTTAACTGACTGACTGACTGAGTTTGGTTTTACGCCGCTTTTAGCAATATTCCAGCAACATCACGGCGGGGGACACCAGAAATGGGCTTCACACCCAATCTTAACCCGAATCTTCATTGGTAGGGAACAATGGAAACCAAACCAGAACTTAAACAATGTTTATGTCAAGTGTTTCATGCCTTCTTGTTCAGAGTCTGCCTGGCACAGTTGTAGGCTTCCAGACACTTGTGATTACTTTTATCTTGATACCTTTTGTCCCACCTTTGTTATTAGCTCATGAATATGTTTTCCCGCTGTCAAATCACGAATAATTTTATCATCCTGAAAAAAAAATATGTTGATTCCATTGAGTGAGTGAGTTTAGTTTTACGCCACACTCAGCAATATTCCAGCTATATGGCGGTGGTCTGTAAATAATCAAGTCTGGACCAGACAATCCAGTGATCAACAGCATGAGCATCGATCGATTGATTCCATTGAGAGATCCTGAATACTTATATTTGACAAAAATAGAAACAAACAAGAACTGAAAAATATTTATCAATCAAAAGCAAGATGCTGCTATTTCTACATGAAATAGATGTAGATTGGATATAATACAGTCATGTATAGCAGCAAATTAGACAAAGGTAACTGGTAAATCTCAGAACCATTCACTTATCTTGTATCACAACTGCAAACTGGTCACAAAATATGGAATGTAAAAAAATAACAAAATGTATATATTATATCTAAAGAGTATCGAGTTCAAGGATGAGTGCCAACATTGAAATATAGAGCAATAATCTCCCTTCTTCATGGGTCACCTAAATGACATTTTGAATTCATGGAGTTAATTCATCATGAACTTATGTAAAACCTCCAAGTATCATATTTTACTTGAAGTTTCATACTCAATAACAAACTAGAGAGTATATTTTGTTTGGCTGCCTATGGAACACATTGTGAGTTATCACTCATAAATGATTGAATACCATGAACAGGGCCCCATTCCTCAAAGTGATCGTAGTGCTAAGACGATCGTAACTTCCATACTTTAACATAGACTTACGACTGACGTAGCGCTACAAATGCTTTGAGGAACGGGGCCTAGAATGACCCAAACTGTATCCTTGGGATACACGGACATAGGATACATAGAACAAGTTAAAGAGTACCCAATACCTTCATATTGCTATAGTGAATCTGTCATGCCATGCCATAATAATGTGACAGAATTCAGTGTTGTTTAATTTCCTTGAATATGTATTAAAGTTTCACTTGGCCAGACCAATTTTATTTCTTGTTTTATGGATTATTGTCCTCAGAAAACCTGATGGCAGGAGGGAAAAAAAATGAAAATAAATACTAAAAGTATTTTACTTTTGGCAATTTATGAAGTGTATATGGGTTAAAACACAATATAAAAAAAACTTTTCTTGTAAATTTACAGTTTTGATCAATAAAACATTAGGATTTTATTTTTTGAGCGGGGAAAATTAACTTTTATTTTTGTTCTTCTTCTTGAAGAAATACGCCATGCGGATCCATAAAAAAAGAAATGAAATTGGTCTGGCCCTAGCAAGAAAAGAATTGACTCCTTGTATCAGTACAGCAACACATTCATATGTTTCAGAAAGAAATGTATTCATTCCTTAAAACAGTGGTGGAAGTTGGTGATAGCACCTTTGAAATTGACAACAAATAACTGTCATGTCATAAATGTTCATACATGTAATTGTGAGTTATTTTGGAACAGCATGAGTTAAAACAAACAAGATTACTTGTTAAATATAGCATACATACCACCTCGGTGCTATAATGCTTGTATATCACAAAAAGGTCAGATTTAATTATATGTTACCAAAGCTGTGGGATAATATACTTCACAACCATATGCATGTCACATTAAAGATAATTGCTGACGGAATGCTGTTTATCTTAACACTGTAATTTTGAGTGTTTTTTGTAGTTTCTGGGCTCCAGGGAATATACACTAAAAAGAGTACCATCATCAGAAGATATCTGTCCTAGGTAGGTTTTCTGCTGTTAGAATCACAATTTCTGAAATGAAGCGGTGAAGAAAAGAAGACTAATCATTTAAAAAGCCAAAAACATATTCAGGGGTGGAAATAACTTTAAAATTGCTAGTTTACTCTGGAACAGTGGCACAAGTAAAATCATTTGCCATGATAATTTATCCACTATACCGGCCGTTTTCTTGTTGATTTTTTTAAATAAACAACATAATTAACATTGGAAAGTCAACTAGACACCAGTACAGTGTGATATACAAATTTGCTTGACCGACAGAAAAAACCACTGGACTCGGACGTCGGGCAATGGGTTATTTCCACCCCTGACATTCACTAATGAATCCACGCATCCTTCATGACAACTGGCAGAATAAAAGGTCATTCAGAGTTCACCTGTCTACTGAGTTGTCCTTGACTCACAGAGGGATATAACAGAGTATAAGATCTGACTAAAATGAGATTAGATCTGTTCAAACAATAAATCTGGTCCAAATTCACTAATAGATGTGAACATTATCATTCAGAAACAGCCTCAAATCAGTGGCGGGATCCAGAGGGGGGGTTCAGGGGGTTCGAACACCCACCCACCCCTATTGAAAATGACTAAAGACCACATTGAAGTTAATGTTTTGCAATGGCAGAGCCCACCCCCACCCCCTGAAAATTTCTTGATCCACCTATGCACATGTATTGACTTGGTTCATTTCTGACTTTGTGAATTGGTCTGTAAAGTAATTTTTTTATTAAATAAGTTTTTTTATTAAATAAGTAATTGTTAGAGTTATAACCCAGAAACAACCTCATTAAGTCAAATGTTAGTTCTTGATACTGCAGGGCGGTGGGGTAGCCTAGTGGTTAAAGTGTTCGCTTGTCACACCGAAGACCTGGGTTCAATTCCCCCACATGGGCAAAATGTGTGAAGCCCATTTCTGGTGTCCTCGCCGTGATATTGCTTGAATATTGCTAAAAGCAGCGTAAAACCCAACTCACTACTCACTCACTCTTGATACTGCATAAAAACCTTTGCATAGACACAACTAATAATTGATTCAACAACATACAAACAGTTTAACGATGATGCACCAATGTGGCCTCCAACAAGAAGAGCTTATATACAACGTACAACGATGGGGCTTGTGAGTATTAGCATATATGAAATACAGAATATCACTGGTACAATGTCCTTCAAGAGACAACAACACTATCTTAATCAGATTCCTTGGTGTTCGTGTTTTGTTTGTTGCTTAACACCACACACAGCAATATTCCAGCTATATTATGTCGAGCTGTGACCGGATGATCCAGTGATTTACATCATGAGCATCTGTCTACCAACTGGGATAAGATTACCTGCTGTTCATCTGGAAACAGCTCCATAACACCTGCAAAACTGAAAACATATATGCCTCTATATTGTTTATCAGTGTTATAAAATACAAACGTTATTGGTATTTTTTCAAAACAATGTCTCTGTCAGTATATAAACTCTCACTCTAGAATGTTATTATGATGAATGGTACAATGAATGTTAAACATAGTGACAAATGTGTAAAGTCGTAGATTGTTTAAGTTTGTTTTCTTTCAAACAGTAGCAATTTCCTTGGGGACAAAAATTAGAGCGAGCCAAACTCAATGCCATCAATTGACTTAGTGTTGTGAAATGCAACAGTCTGCAGTATCTCGAACATGACATCAGCCTGTGCGAACCACTGGTCCAGAGCTAGAGAAATAACAAAGATGCTTTGGCATGACATACAGTCAGTCAGGTCACACTACAACCCGAGTCCATATTTGAAGGGATCTATGATGATATACTTGGTGGAGGGGTATTCTGACTCTGAATCCCACAAAATGTGTGAGTGTTATGGGGGTCGTTCATTTTCAGCTCCCAAATCTCATAAAGCACATCAAGCATATCCTGTTACAAGCTACAGTACGAAGCATGCTTAATACCAGAATAATCCAAGCAAATTTTGGTTTTGCTTTCATAAAAACTCAAATATAATTGGAAGTCCCCTTCATGTGGATGTAAATGAAAGACCTTTGATGACATCACAACTATAATACCAAGGTCAAGACCCTCCTTTAGACAGACCATGGTGACAAACATAGCAGGTCAAGGTGACCCAAGGCAAAGATCAATCTGACCCATATAGTAGGTCAAGCTGTCATGTTGGACATAGTAAGGACATCATTACATTGGTTAACATGGTCAATGTGGCAGATGTAGCTGATGACTCTAGATATAAGTAAAGTACACAGGACATCATGTAACCCTTAACACTAAGGTTACCTTAACAAAACTAAATACATTTCAAAGTCAAGCTGTAACTCCTTAACAAGTATGTGACAAATAGATAAGGTCAAGGTGACCCATATAGTAGGTCAAGCTGTCATGTGGGACATAGTAAGGTCAAGGTGACCTTTAACACAGGTCAAGGCCGCATATTTAGTTTGTGTGCTGCAGTTCCATCCACCATGAGCATCAGAACAAGAATGGTATCAACGCCTTCCTGCTAGGGGGATACAGCTCAAACTGCTGCTTGTACCTGTCAGAAGGAGAACAGATTATTTAAAGTGTCCCCATAGCATACCATTTTATTACAGTGTGTATTTCAAAATTGTCTAATGAGTGAAAGGTCGGCATATGAATATAACAGTTACAACTGATATTACGACCACAGACTGTTCTCAGACTTGTAATACACGACAAGATTCTTTTTCTCAAAATCATGTTGAGAATACTCTAGTTAAATACATTATCAAGTTCAAAATATTTGTGAAGAACTCCAGCGTTTAACTCTGTTCAGAGTGCTTGAGGGGAGCCTGAGGGAAGATCAACTCACTGAGTCATGTCATGTTGGCTGTGACCTCATAAGAGTCAGCAGGCATGTTTTTGAATATGAAGCAGAATTGCAAGGTCCAGTATTCATACGAGGCATTGCAGCATTTTAGTGATGAGAAAATTATTTTGAATTGGGGGCCAACATTAAGTGAAACACACACAAAAAAACAGAAAATAAGTACACTGACCAAAGATGATTATGTCTGGAACCGGGTACAAATGTTGCAGCACAGAACAGCAGCCACACAAGCCCAGCGAGAGACCATGTTGCTAGACACCTACATGAGAAATCATAAATGTACATTTTGTTGAAGTTAATTGAATATTTTTAACTTTTATGAATGCATTAACATAAAAACTGGTAACATAAAAAAACCTACAATCCAAAATGTGCACACTATTTTTAACATCTATAATGCCATAAAGGCAAAAACATTTGTAAATTCTTAAAAATACACAACAATAAGAACTTGTCAGATTTCTGATTCAATAATGGATAAACTATAGATATAAATGAGCATTATTTATTATTTTGACATTTTACAGATAGACACCATAATGGTTTGAGTGGAGGTCTTTGCTGTTTATAATTCCCAATATATAGTTCAAATACACATCAGTTTTAAAACGGGTCATGGGTTGCTTATTGGAGCAAATGGTTAGGGGCTGGTCATTAATTATTGGCACAGAACATACTTTATTTCTACATACAGTGACAATAGGTTCCATAATTTGTTGATACTCTCTACATTGGATGACTGATCATGATTAGAAGATGTACGGCGGTTGATGGTTCAGCTTATCTACCGGACATACCATTTTGATACTGATTTTAAGGGTGAAGTTAGGACCACGGCTTGTCTGTGAGATCGGCTGGTCTATCATCATATGTGGTAGGTGGGTGGAGCAAATATTCATTGAACTGTTCAACAGTCTGCTGAAAACTTTTTATATGACACCAGTTACCCTACCGTACAAGAAGTTTATCATCATGACTCTGGCACCCTCCTCCTCTTGTCCTTTTTCATTTGTTCATAAACAAAACCCATCACCCAAACCCTCACCCAATAATACAGGACCAATCCCGCATACAGCAAACAAAGTAAGGGTAGTAAGTGTAAGAGGACCTCACCAGCCTGTCCACTCCACCAGCTCACCGAAGTAGTTGGGGCAGCTGACCAGCTCAAACAGTCCTCCATATGGAATGTTGTAATTAGTCCCTCCTGTAGAACAATATATCGACATTTGTTTGTTGTTTAACATCACACTCAACAATATTCCACCTATATGCCAGCAGTCTGTAAATAATTAAGTCTGGACCACACAATCCAGTGACTGACATCAAGAGCTACGACCTATGCAATGAGAATACCACGAGTCCTACCACCCGATCCCATAATGGAATCAGTTGCCTCTTACAACAAGCATGGGTTGCTAAAGACCCAGACCTTCACAGGTCCAATATATCAACAGACATGAAACGTTCCATGAATAACAACTTTTTGTGTGTCTAAACACTTCTTGTTTGTCAAAACAGTTCCTATTCTTGTCACAGCTGTATACATGTGTAAATATACACAGGCATGCTGTGTTTACACATGATTGTTACTTTGTTTATTATGTACTGTCGTACTCAGCAATATTTCAGTTCTACGATCACAGCCTATAAAAGTTTGATTCTGGACCTAGCGGCCAGGTAAGTAGCATCAGAGAATATACCATCAACTACTCCTTTGGTGTTCCGCAGGGAGCGGAGTCTCCAGTCGGCCCATCTGTTTATGACGAAGCCAATAATGTACAAAATAATGCCCAATATGAACCGAGGATCACTGAAAGCAAGAATAACAATGAATTAAAACCTGGTATAGTTTAAATGTAATTTTGTTATATCTATATCAGCGTAAACATATATCGAAATTAAGGCGGAGAAATTACTGGAGCTGTTTAGTCATTCAATGTAAACTGTACTTGTCATATGATCACTTTTATGACTTTCTGTTTGTACCATAATAACAATGGTTACAGTTGAAACTCTCACACTAATCTTGAGGCACATGGTTTGTACTTACTAGTAATAATGAGCTGCATATGTGGCCGAGCTTATAAAATCAGCATTGATGAAGTGAAAAATGCAGTTGGGTAAAAATCCACCAATACATATTCTGAAAAATAGAGTTGTCTCCCCTGAATTCAAGTCTTATCTCTCTGATAGACATTTGTAATTTCAGTTTTGAAAACTGAAACCTACCGCGTCATATTCAAAACTACATCATAATTTACATGGTTTATTCAAATGTAAATGTCCTACCATTCAACAATTTCAAGGAAGGCAGGAAAAAAATGTGAAGACCACAAGACATGATAACATTTCCATCTGCTGAATAAACATTACGTGTGAGTATGGCTTTATGTCATTAAGCAATATTCCACATATTTTACAGCGGGGTCGAACTTATGAAAAGTGTGACTGGACCTTTGGACCTATGGATCTGCATAATCAAAGCAGCGGACAAAATTAGTAATCGTGGCAGGTTTGCCTGTGGGACAGTGGATGCTGTCCATCGACAAAAATCATACACTTAGAGCAAAAACTCCACATGCAAAGATGTGAGGTCTCTTTGAGACATCAATATGTGACCAAGCACGACAAGAGCTAACAAGCTCACCATGTACATGATATCTTGGAAGTAGGATGGTATGGACAGTCTGAACAGATAGGCATGTTTTAGGGGATAAATAAAACATTATCTGACAGAAAGTAGAGGTGCCTTCTCTAACACCCTAACAACCTCCAAAACATTCTGCTGAATCAATGTAGACAATGGTTGACATATTGTTGCACAAAGAAAATTTGCAGTAGTTTTGCAAATGAATATATCTGTATTTTCACTATGGCGATTCTTTTTTTAAATAACAACGAAATCAAAATGGTTTCCATCTCCTGTCCAGGTACTACTCGAGTAGTGCTGAAGGGGTCAGCTGTATACAGAAATGTTCCCTAAACAAAGTTAAAATACAGAAACGTACCCGGTACCCAATACGGGGGACGAATGCATATTCCGCAACCCAAAACCCTATGTTGTTGTTCCTGTTCAACTTTACTGCGAATAGCATTGTGCATCGCAAAATATCTGTTACTGTGTATGCTTGTTTCTTATATAACACAAATATATGTATCTTATACAACAGTATGGCAGTTCCGATCAAGAAAACGGTACAGTGCAGAAACGACCTGTCCTAGGGTACGTTTCTGAATGCAGATTTTGGCTAGGGTACGTTTTTTGATACAGAAACGTATCTGGGGTACATATCTGTAGTATCCGAGCCAACAACGATCCCTTCAGCTCCAGTAGCCCTTACCCTATGTACACCATGGGGCTTCTGTACCTCATCACCAAGGGATGAATGATGCCCCTGGAACACAACATGGATTCATATAGCACATTTAATCACAAGTTCCAGTTTGACAGTTACCGAAAAGGCTAGTAAGGTGTTTCAAAGATAACTGTCCCTACCTGAAAACTAGCATGCAAGAAGATATTTCAAACCCTACCTAAACGCAACCACCACTACGACTCCTTTCATTCATTTTTCAGAAATAAAACACCCACAGCGGTACATGAGGTACAATTTTCAATATATGCAAATTGCAGTATGTAACAATAGTAATGAAAAAGGATGCACAGATACTAACACAATTTACAAATTAAGGCCAGACCAATTTTATTTCTTGTTTTACGGATCCGCGGTCATATTTTTTCAAGAATAAGGAAAACATAAAAGTTAATTTTTCCTGCTCAAAAAATAAAGTCCTAATGTTTTATTGGCCAAAAATGTAAACTGACCAGATTTTTTTTTTCTAAACAGATAATGAAATTCATCTCCCACACCAATATAATCACAGAATGGGCACTGGCAGTCTTTGTAGGGGATGTCCAGCCAATGGCCAGCTTCAGTGGTAATCTGTGATTATTTGTTGTGAATTTCAATACAGGAATACACATTGATCTGGAGAGTAATAGATATTTTTCAAACAAAGGTTGATTCTTTAGGTACTTCAAGACTTCAAGACCCCTTGGAGCATGATTTGTGAAATCAATACATATTTTCAACAACTGAAGTCAGCCATGGCACTGAACATACTAAGGGGTTTTGAATTACTTTGTTAGACTGCAGGTGTCTAATACATTCTAAATAAATCCTAACCATGGGAAATTCTAAGGTTCTTTACGGATAATTAAATGTACTTGTAAAGTATTTTGGATGGTTTATGACACATTTGAAGAAGCAAGCTTATGCCGAAAAGAAATAACATGTGTATAAACTTTAATACTAAGTGGTTCCCTGCCTAAAACCCAAAACATATTTATGCTGATCTACCTGTGGATGTAGTGAAGCAGGAACAGCACCAGGAACACATAGTTCTGGTAGAACCTCACAGAACCATACAGGAAGAACACCTGCCACACAAACACACGTCTTAGGGGCCATTCATAATTTATGGCTAGGGGGTGATGATGATTATTATGGAGGAGCATGTACAATGTGAATGACACCCCCTAAAATATATGTACAAAGTAAGTGACATGTACAAAATCAATGTCCGCCCTCTCCCCTTCCCATAATTTTTAAGCATAGTTTTCAAATATAACTACGTACAAAATTGCTGAACACCCCCCACTCCCCAGTACATGTGTAAAAAATGTATTAACCCAACCCACATACACCTGACCTTCCAGACAAAAAAGGGTGACCCCCCTCAACATCATCATCACCCACCCCATTTGTTTATTTACAAACCATGGATCATAAGATGATTCTCCACAATGGTATAGCATGGATCAAAAGCAGATTGTCGTTATTGGTATAATATGGATCATAAGCAGATTCTCATTGTTGGCATACCAAGGATCATAGATGCTAATCTATAACATGTACAAACATGGCAGCTGATGGACACTGCTCAGATTAGCCAACAGCCATAACTGTACAGACTCACCAACAAGAACATGACAACACCAGGCAATGCATCAGAAATAATGTGACTGAGACGCTGAGGAATCTTGGGACCCCATCCTCCATTCTGGAACATATTTACAAGTGTACAGTATGTAAGTAGATACATGCAATGTCATGTTGACTGTTATGAATGACATTATTCCTTTATTCAATCCTATTTCGTTTCCTTATACCGAATCATTTTCCACTCTTCAGTTACAGTTTTAAATTCTTCATGTAACCATAGCTTCCTGCCTGTCCCTGCTCACTCCGAGAACATTACCTGTACCGAGGGAATGAATGAGAATATTCTCGTCAGTAACCCTGATTGTCAGAAGAGCAGTGAATAAAACAATATGCCAAGTAACCTTATCTTCATTGACCTCCCAGAAAACAACAATAATCAACCTAGAAGCTCATCCAGGATGTGTTCAAGATGGGGGAGGGGAGCACTTGAATTTGAAACTTTAGCAATAGGAGGCATATACTAAAAACCCATATACCCATATGGTAAGTAAATATGTTTAAATATTGTCCCATGAAGGAGAAAAGATTACTAGAGGACTCAGAATCACCAGACAACCTTGTTATAAAATAATCAAAGGCAGACAAAACCAATGTGATACAAAATGACCTGTTACTATTGGACTCACCTCCATTTCATGTCGGCCATATGGAGCAGGTTTACAGCACTGGACACATGCAGTGATGGCTGCCAACACACACCCAAATATAACCAGGCCATAGTGAACCCAGAATCTTGTGCTGCCTTCCTCATAGAACGTCCATGGTTTCAACTGTAACACACTTGCTGTGTCATTGATGCTACTACAACCATTAGCAGGGCTCCAGATAATTTTTCAACATCAGGAGTACGTACTCCTTATTTGTTCAATATTGAGTACTGGAAAACCTTAAGTGTACATTTAGAGTACTGAATGGAAGCTAATGGACTATCGGTAATCTTGTGTTTCGTTTCAAATATGCACCACAACATTGCTACTCTTGTCTAAACAGGTCAATAAACAATAAAACAATACTTTTTTTCAGATAAATACGTCTGTAAATGATTCTAAGACCGTACACCATTGCTGTGGTGTATATCTGCTACGTTTTCTAAATTATTTCCTACAGTATCGTGCATATTTTCTATCCGTGCATACGCCGATACGGCCCTTATCTGGAGCCCTGCATTAGCATAGGCACTAGACACATTTCTTGGACTCATTTCTATGATAATATTGAGACATAAATAAATAGTTGCAGGTGGGTTGTTTTATCTCAATCTGTTACACATAACAAATTTACTTCCTGCATGCAGGTTTAATTTACTTTCATCATTTAAAGCAGATGATTATGTCAAATTAGTTAATACATGGTGCTTATTTGCTTAGTTTGTCATACAGTTTCTGAAACAAATATATCTAATACATACTACGAAGTGTACAAAGTTTCAAGACTACTGTCCAACCAACATTAGAATTAGGTGAGCGAAAGACGCGTTTGTGAAAGGAGAGGGGGGAGCATGCCGTGAACTGATCCACTGCCCACTCGAAGGGGTTTTTGTGATCCTTGCAGTAATCACTGTCTATGCAATGATTCGGGAAGCGTCGTGTTTCTGCTCGAGCATTTGTATACTAGTATCTTGTAAAGTGGACTGTTAAAAGAGTATTAAACTCTGCAGGTATTTGAAACTTATCATGTCGCACTGTAAATTGGGTAAACAGGGTCAAGTCATTCATTCACAAACATGTGAGGTTGCCTACAATGTCATTCAGTACTTGTGTACTATTTCTGACACACACAGTGCACTCAAAAATGCCAGCAATGCTACTGGTATATCTGTCAGTACCTTGCGCAAAATAAATGACGAAGGTAAATGCGTTCCCGTGATGGGTACCAGTAAGTTCACAAGCCCAGGGAAAGTGCGTCCCCTCGAGGACAGCACAAACGTATTATCCATATTCACACACACAGAAACTAGGCTAGAACAAAATTGAACCTTTGAGTTTTGGTTTTTTTTATCGTTAAACACAAAAAAATATTCGAGAGTTGTATTGGATTTTGTATGGAAATCGTCAACCACAAAATAGCAAATAGAACCCGTTTCAGAAGAGCGAGAGTAGACTGACATGCTTCACAGCAGTTTATCGCTTTCCATACCCTATGCCCCTTAATGGTAAAATGGACTGCACCGCTTTTCATATTCACGGGTTCAAATGACAGGTCGGCATTATTCTTAAGTTTGTCTCACAGTATATTGCCGCAGTTCCAAAAATGAAGAAAGACTCTTGGTTGCTTTTTATTATACATATCATTGCAAAAATGTAATGACTTTTTGTGTAAAATATGTTCAGTTCAGAGATGATTTACTTTTTGTGTCAAGAATTGGTCACAATGGGAAGACTTCCCGTATATATATCACATTTTGGAGAGTATTTGTTTGTTTAACGATGAACTCAGCAACGTTCCATCTATATGGCGGCCGTCTGGAAATGATCATAGGCCCCCACTGCGGGTCAGAAAATCGATACACTAGGCCCCGGTTTAGTATCCACACCCCCTACTATATAATATGTATTATATAGTAGGGAGTGAGAATACTAAACCAGGGCCTAGTTTATCATTATTATATAGTAGGGGGTGTGGATACTAAACCGGGGCCTAGTGTATCGATTTTCTGACCCGCAGTAGGGGCCTATGTAAATGATGGAGTCTGTGCCAGACAATCCAGCGATCAACAGCATGAGCATCGATCTACGCAATTGCGACACGATGACATGATTGTGTCAACCAAGTCTGCGAGCCTGACCACCAGATCCTGTTAATCTCTCATGACACGCATGTGTTGCTGTAGCCGAGAGCCGCAATGCGGTCCTATACACGACTATTGTAGGACAGCATCGTGGCTCTCGGCGAGGGTTGCTGAAGACCAGTTCTAACCCGGATATACATGGTCCATTTAGGAGATTAATGCTGAACATTGTTGTTTCTCACAAGACTTAAACCAGACCGAAAGTAAACATGTCAAAACAGATCGGTAGCATCTCGAGTATCAGCAGCTTCGCGGGGCCCATCCCGGCTCTCGACTGCTGTGTTGGTCACCTGGTGGTTTCATTTTTTAAAAAGCTTTAATTTAAAAGCTCGCCACGTCAAATACTTGATGATCACACGGGAAAACGATATATTTACCTCGAATAACACCATTTCTTCTTCTGATCAGCCTAGACCTTGATCACCTTGAATCAGGAAGTGAGGATGACCTTAGTTCCGGTGTAAACAAAAACAAACCCACGTGAAAGTATGCAACTCCTTACAATTAATTTGATTGGTCCAGATTACCTGGGCATTTAAGAGCGCAGTTGCTATTGGCTAAACGTCATCCCCACGGATAAAGGTCACTTCCGGGTTTGAAAATGAACTTTGGATGTATCCCCGTGAGTGGTGATCGTTACCCATTTCTCACCGCTATTTACGGTGATACAAACCAAATCAAGCTCAAATGCACAAAAGATGGCGAGCGCATATTCATCAACATTTGAAGACGGACCGCCTGACCAGACAGACAAAACTGAAAGCAGTCGGAATTTTAGAAAATCACAAAATCAAGCGACAACTGGCATTGGCGGAGCTGGTGAAGGCCCAACATCCCAGGCATCCGATTCAGATTCAGGCTTTCATTCCACAACCAAGGATGTTTACACAGACGCTACCAAAGATTCAAAGAAAGACAGCGTTAGGGACCTTGAGAGAAAGTTTAGATATCTAAAATTCGAAGACTATCAATTTGATAATGACGATCAGTTCCAGTCGGGATGGAAGAAACTGGCAGGTGTTGTGCCACCCAGTGAGCGAGATAAACAGTACCTCAAAGCTAAACTTTTCTATTATTCCAAGTAAGATGATATGATGTTACTGTATTCATTTAGAAAGTTCATCACTTTTCATGTGATGGACTGAACCGTTTCTTATTTCAATAAGATTACATAGTTCTCTAATCTACATATGTGAACATAAAAAGACATTCAATTAGTTGATGCTGAATCAATTAACGAGAATCTAGGCTGGCAAAAGAATCAGTATCACTTGGCTCTGCTTCCAGAATTTTCCATCACTAATTAGCCAATAGAGTTTTATACCGCTTTTAGGAATATTCTAGCAATATCACAGCAGGGGACACCAGAAATGGGTTTCACACACTGTACCCATGTGGGGAATCGAACCTGGGTCTTTTGCATGACGAGCGAACACTTTAACCACTAGGCTTCCCCACTGCCCTGATATAGACTGGCATATACTGGCATATGGTCTATGCACATAGTAACCAAAAAGGTTAGGATACACGTGATATGCATGTGCAATAAGGGAGCAGACATTTCACACCTCTATGTTATTATATTAGCTGGATGTTGTTTTGGAAGTTGAAATTACACGTGAGTCATCAGTCATTTGAGTTATCAGAACCTTTTACCTAAAAACATATTTAAGAACAGCTTCATGTCTTTTCAGACCAACTTTCACTGAGGCATCTAATCAGCAGCAAACTAAGTCAGCAATCTAACGTAATCATGATCTAGACTACCAGCTGTGAGACTTCGATGTTTGTGACGGATTGGTGCCTGAGTAGGTTAGATCGTTAAATTTGTGTGCTGTCAGTTGGGTGCCTCACTCTGATAATAATATTTTTTTGAATTCCGGAAATATTTGTTTCCTGCATTATCTTTCAGGCACATTGAAGCTGTCGACATTGATGAATATATGAAGTGGAAGGAAGATCCTGTAAACAAGAATGAAAAAACAGGTTGGGTATACTCACTGTCTAAATAGATTGTGTTCCATGTCTGAATAGATTATTTACCACCACGTTTGCCATGTTTGGCGCCCAGCTCCAATGACTGACCAACTTCTAGATCAGTTTCTAAGTATAGTTCTTGTAAGCACCCTAACTATGAGAGGCATTTCCATGACATTCCATATTTGTTCAAGTATATTACACATTTCCTTGCAAGGGATACTACTGCCTGGAGTGATTATCAACTTTAGAACAAATTCTACTTGCTGAGCTTTCTAAATGGTCAGGGAGCCTGTAACAGTGAAGATATGAGTATCACTGGCATGTTACAGCTACAATGGAGACCTACTACATTTCATGACTGTGACTCAAAATCAGGAAACTACTGTATTTGCTATAAGTTTTACATGTTTAAAGAGCAAGTAATTATTTGTGGGGACTTTATCATTGCCCAATTCAGTTGGTGATTGGGTGGATTTGAACGGGATTCATATGGCGTTATGAGCAATGAGACATGGATGTTAGCATGTATCAGGGATTTATTGAGACCTGCTCATAATAGGCCCCAAGTCTGCTGGAAATGATAGGAAATATACCCAATTTGAATTATTAATATCCCAATTTCTCAGAATTTACACACAAAAATTACCCATAAAAATCAAATTATGAACAGTATTGGAACTATTTTACTCAGATTGCCATCCGAAGGCACATAGTTTGAAATTTCAAGTAAACACATATATAATGCTTGAGATGTCATCACATTCACTCGTGTCACAGTCATCACCGTAAGATTTCCGCCGGTATCCCCCCAAAACTTTAACAATGAGGACAAATTTCTTTGAGTGGCATTTTTAGAAGTTGGAAATGTCTGTTAGTATGTTAAGATACATTTAAAGAAACATGTTAAAACTCATTGTTATCAGATGATGAATATATATTCAGGCGATATGATTTGACTAGAATGAAATTTAAGGGGGGATACAGGCGGATGTCTTTCCATCATCTCTCTCATACAATATAGCTCATATTAGAACATGTTGGCTTGAAACTGTGAAGTTATGTTGCAAGACCTGTGAATCATGTCAAGGTGTAGGACAGAACAATGCTTCTTGACACCCCTTGAACTTTGGTCCACAACTACGTGTTAAGTCAGATTGCTTCATTTTATAAACTTTGATCTGGATATATGATCTGATCATAGTCATATTACTCATTTGTCAAAACATGCTCTCAAGGTATGGTATTTCATTTAAATATATTTCAAGAATTCTTTCTTCTGAGCTTGTTGGAGGCGTTTAGAGGTTTATTTTTCGCACAGGCACATGTAAACATGAATTTATATTTCTTATTTATCAAGAGAGAGGTGTGGCAACGCCGCAGGTCTGGCAGTTGAGTGGTAAGGGAGACAACTCCTGCAGCCCTGTTGCCACCACTGACGGCTCTAACACGAAGACTGCGCCCGAATCCGGAACACTGTCGTTCAGTGAAGTGATTGACTTTATCCAGAGTGGGAAGACTATTCCAGGCCTCAAGACTGTAGACGCGAAGCCCACAGATGCAAATCCTTCACCATCAACTATGAACAGGAAAGCCAAACCATGGGAGCGCTGACAAACGTCACTGATATGGTGATGGATGATGTGGATGAATGGCTGAGAGATGTATTTTTATGATTGACGGAAGAGGAATAAAATATCAGCTCATAATGTATCTGGATTTAATTATTTTAGTTTATCTTTTATGAAAAGCAGATATGTGAAGAAATGTTTTGTTAATTTTTCTGAGGTAGTGCATTTCCTTTGATACATATTCAAGAGAACGATTGTGTTTATCCCCAAATACATTGTGGACTGGTAACACGTGACTACTGGTACTGGGTTACCTATTTCTATTTGTTCTTCACATGGTTTTAATAGAATTGAACTTATGTGATGTTTAATGGTGATATTTCTCTCTTTAATACACTTTTAAGAATGTATGCAATAAGTTAATAATCGGTTTACATATATCTAAGCTGATAAACAGAAAGTGGTATCATTATCTTCAACTTTTGATTTTGCAAAATAAATAATATTGAGAGATAAATGTTCACTTGTTTCTGTGCTAGTTTCCATGACAATGATTACCTGTGAGTGAGTAGCGTTTGTGGCCCTGTCAGCAATATTATAGGCTTATTAGAATAGCAGTCACCAAGAAGAGGATTCATGAGTGAGTCGGGTTTTACATCACTTTCAGAAATATTCCAGCAATATCAGTGCATGGAACGCAAGAAATGAGGTTCACAAATTGTACCCATGTGGGGAATGGAACCCGGGTTTTCAGCGTGACGAGCGAGGGCTTTAACCACTAGGCTACCGACCTCCCTACTCCCAGTTTCTTACACAACCAAGCGTTGGTCCCTGCCTGGCACTCGGCATTAATGGGTACATCAAGGACTGGTCGGCTCGGAGTCAGTATAATGTGTCTGAGTGGGATATTCATGCTTCACTGCGGCATGATATCTCAGTGGGCTAGCACTATAAAACCAGCTCAAGTCTGGGCTAGTACAAGCAGCCGCACATACACATATGAGCGAAATATTCTCAAGCACCACGTTAAACCCAATTTCACCTCACCTCACCTTACGCAACCAAGCAAACGATACTCTAGACAGATCCACCTCTCCCATTGTTAGCTGTGGGTCTGTTTGATCATTTACAACACTCCGATATTCTCAACTTCTATGTAACTGGAATATTTACACATGAGGTTGATTTCATGTTAATGCATGTCTAAAATACCACAATACTGGATAAAAATTGGCTTTGAACGCGTGTATGTTATTCTTCTTGGGCACTGGTTGAAATCTTGTGATATCGTACAAAACAAGCTGTGGAGGCTGGAGACGTAAATATAGCCATGGAATTCGTCCAAAATTCATCAGACAATCGACTTCTGTTGACTTCAATATGAGTCATATTGTGAAGAAATACAAATAAACACCAAGAGGAAGTTGACGCAAGGTACTGTGTGTGTGGGGGTGGGTGGTGTGTTTGTTTGGGTTAATCCCATTTTTTTTTTATAGATAAGCGTTAAAAAGCACCACCCAAGTATATGCTTAGTACGAAAAAAACCTACCTGTATCTGTATGAAAAACGAAAGAAATACCAATGAACTTCATTCGAAAGTTAATGCAAGGTGCAATTTTAGTAATCCCTATTATTATGTAAATATGTAGTAAGCAGTGCTAGGTGTCGCTACTCAACTTTTCGAACTTTCAGTCAGATGTGTCATTGTATTAAATGCATACTGGACATGTATATTATTTTTGTCTATCGCGGAAAGATAAAAAACAAACAACCAAAAACCATGCCACAAACTGAAGAGTAGTAGTAGACTTTCCGGGTATAATATATGCGATGAAACTAAATAATTACGTTGTCACTGGGGCCACACCAACATGTTTATGGGCCGACTAAGATTGGCATCTATGTTGCAGTTCGGTCCCTCAAAATCGCCAGTCGGTCACACAAGTGGTCGTTATCGAGGGAAATGATAAATATTTTACGTGCGTTTCAATCGTTTGGTAAAACCCAACCGCACGCGTACAAATTATTAAAGTGAGCGTTTTGTACCGAGTTTATTCCATTTTGATTGAGGTGAAGGTAAAATCTGTCAAATCGGCAACGTACGAGTAGATATTTGAAACATGAAGCTTTCGATCGGAGAATGCAAATTGACGTGAAAATACGTCAGTGATCACTTATATTTGTTAGAATCGCTGCCCAAGACTATCACCAGCATTGGAAATATTAATTATGAATACGTACCTAGAAACAATCACAATTCAGATTCATTCTGTATTCAGAAAAAATGTACCTACTGGCTGAATCCTCGTCAACAAGTTCACCACACGCAATGGAGTGCAATATTTTAACCTATTGACCGGGACCCTCTCGCGCTCGCCACGAACATGTCCGTGTCTATTACGTCATTGTTACGAGAAAACGACGGAAATTATATAAGCCACACTTCCGTACAAGGGCGGGTTGGTACGAGTTAACTTAAACACACACCGACTTTACATGACACGGGCTTCGATCTCCAATCACGAACCGATTATACTCGTTAAGAATGTTAGTATCAAAGGTGCATCGATGGTCGGAATCGATATTTCCATAATGAATGGCTTGTGTTCCATATACACTCTGTGGAAACGTTCAACGGCCTTCCCTTACACCAGAGACCGCCCCCGTGGTGTAGTGGTTAGAGCGTCCGCCTGGAGTGTGGAAGGTCGCGGGTTCGATCCCCGACCGCGTCATACCGAAAGACGTTAAAATATGGTACTTGTTGGTCCCTGCCTGGCGCTCGGCATTAATGGGTACATCAAGGACTGGTCGGCTCGGAGTCAGCATAATGTGTCTGAGTGGGGTATTCATGCTTCACTGCGGCATGATATCTCAGTGGGCTAGCACTATACAACCAGCTTCAGTCTGGGCTAGTACAAGCAGCCGCACGTACACATACACACGCATGCACGTCGTCATATGTGCGAAATATTCTCAAGCACAACGTTAAACCCAATTCCACCACCAACACCCTTACACCAGAAGTGGTTTGCACCGTAGATGATTCCAAATCATGAATGCAGTAAAGAAATATAACAGATTCGTGTACACGATAATCTTCACGAAAAAACTAATTAATCAAGTTTGTCCTTCATTAATCAAACACAACACGACCCTTGATTAACTGAGCGTCCAGCACCACGAGAGATGTCTCCCGCAAACGTGTCGAATGCGGTCAAACAGTTCGATACTTTAAATATTACCGAAATGTACAGGTAAAGTTATATGTGTTAGCCGTATAGTATTATTCTTCGTACTGTTGGTTTGGTTAACAAATCTTACTGTGTTCGTGAAATATCTATTTGGGCGGACCTATTTGCAAATGTAACTATGTGAGTATGTATTTACGCCGCTTTTAGCAATGTTCCAGCAATACCACGTCGGGGTACACCAGAAATGGGCTTCACATAATGTGCCCATGTGGGGAATCGAACCCGGGTCTTCAGCGAGCGAACACCGGAACACACCAAACCACCCCCCACTGTAAGTATGTAACATACTTGGTAATATTGCATGTAATGCAACCTGCGTGTACATATTGCCGGAGATACAGGGATAAAATGCATATATATTTACATTTATCAGGAATGAACATTTCATTAATTAGCGGGGACGGCGGAGTAGCCTAGTGGTTAAAGCTTTCGCTCGTCACGCCGAAGACCCGGGTTCGATTCCCAACATGGGTACAATGTGTGAAGCCCATTTCTGATGTCCCCCGCTGTGACACTGCTGGAATATTGCTAAAAGCGGCGTAAAACCATACTCACTCACTCCTTCAGACATCATTTCGGTTCATATACTTGGTTCAACGTGTTAAAAGTTCAAAACAACTTCAACCTTAAAGAGTCCTGTACAATTTACAATTTAGTTTGTTGTTTAACGCAGCACTTATATTAAGCAATTATGACATCGGTGTGAAAATAATCGAATCCTGTCTTGAAAATCCAATGGTTGACATAATGAACATCAATCAACACAACTGGGATACGATGACATGCATTTATGAAGTGAGACATCCAACAGTGTTAATCACACAAGAAAACCGCACGCGGTGGCGGTACGTGATTACGTCGAATATAGACGGCTGGTTATGGTGATCCCTTTTACAGTGATTTTATTTATTTCGAAGACAAACATTCACAATGTTTTACACAAGACTCACGAGACCTCTTAGTGGAACTTATGCAGATTCATATTCAATACAAATACATATGAATTTCGCTGAAATGCACTTTGCATGTGATAATCTTTTAAAAAGTACTTCTAAATTCTCGAACTAAAATTCAACAAAGCGTATGTTGACCCACCATGCTCTGACCCTTGATCTAAACACGCTCCTGTTTGTCTAGATTGATTGCATTTTAAAGGTCTCTGCTCAATATCTGTAACGCTCAAATACTGAGTATACGATCTTAGCAAGGATGTCGTTCTATATCTGACCTTAATGTTAACTATTAGGTAACCGTTTGAAATTTGACATTGAGAAAGGATGGAGACTGGTTTTGACTGGTTCTGTTTCAGATACGGTTTTATCGTGTGTCATGCTTTTGTCGTAGCGTTCAAGTAGAGGTCCAAAGTAAACGTGTTGTGTTTTAACAAAAAACGTTTCACAAAAGAACAATCTCAGTCAGACACTAGGGACCTTATTATATTATGAGTAACATTTTTCTGAACAAGCCAGGGGACGTCACGCCACGTCAAGGTTCTGACGACACCGGGGGGTCCAAGGTCACAGGAAGGCTAGCATACCAGACATCATGGAGCGATTGGGGTCAATGCAGGATCACCGACCCGTTCCTTCTTCAATGCTATCTTAAGAAAATATTTTGATGATTCACTCGGACAAACAAGAATAATTTAGATACACTGATGATAGTTTTCACAGACACGTCACACTGTTGCAGGACCTGCCGCGGGGAAATACACGTGGAAAAGCCCCACTGACACATGAATCGAAACGCTGTCGACAGACATAGACTAGACGTATATTTAGTCTTTCAAATGAAATTATTTTAAGACTGTTAAAGAAAGCAGTTTAACTAATAACTTTTGATATTTTCAGAAGTGGAGAAATTGTTGACTTGTGAGTTTTCGGAAATGTTTGTTTCCGGGTCTGTATAAGAGACAAATCTTGCTGTGTCCTATGTGTTTCATATTTGGTTTGACTGCGTGCTGACTGTTAATATAAATAAAATATTAGTTTCGCCTTTCGCCAAACTGTCATTTTGCAATGTACATACATCTAAGGATGTACTTACCAAATTTCAACATTTCAAGGGTGGGTGGTTCGGGCCTTGAAACACTCCTCCCGCCAGTTCCCCAAAGTAAATCTGATGAATAATCCTCCAGTGCTCGTACTCTCCAAATATCTGACCGTGAAATGTGTTTACTGGGACCAATACCATGTTCCTCATGGAATATATACGTGCACGAAGTTTCAGTAAAACTTTGATAATTATCAGGTAACAGT